CCACATAAAAAATATATTTTATCCATCTACAACTAAAAATATTTTTAAAAATTCTTAAGATTGGGGTTGGGTCTGGGCTCAGCAACAGAGTGCTTGCCTCACATATGTGAGGCACTGGGTTCTATCCTAAGCACCACATAAAAAATATATTTTATCCATCTACAACTAAAAATATTTTTAAAAATTCTTAGATTGTAATCAAAATTGCTTTCCAGCATTAAAAAAAAAAAAATAAGCTGCTAATGAGGGAAAATCTCACGTGCAATTGTTTAATATTGTGCTCTTCCAAGTTGTTGACTTACTCTAAATTTTAAAAGGCTTGGATAAACCCCTGAAGTTTATCCTATAAAGCAAATAATTAGGACTTGAGTGGAAATGATCTCAACCTACAGTTGTTTCAGGGATGTTGCAATGACAGAAAACATTTCTGAAATTCCTTCCCAGCCTAGTTTATGAGCTATCTTAAAATGATTCATTACTTCAGAATTATTTTTTAAAAATTAGTCAACCTTATCATGCATCGCCTGTTTTGTTCCAGATGACTGCTGGGATTCCTAGTACTAGAATTTCTTGATCTCCTCTGGGCAGATAATTCCCCACTTCATGTCCTTAGCTCTAAAACTCCAGATCCATTTCCTGACTAAACACATTTTCCAACCCAGTTCTCCAAATTAACTCAAAACTACTCATCCTCTTCTCCCTATTCAGGTTAATGACACCGTGTTCTCAGCAACATATACTAGAAACCTGTCTTTTATCTTTGACTCATTTTTGTTTATGTGTAATAGTTAGAGGCTCAGGTTCTAGAATGATTTTTCTGGGCTCAAATCCTAGTTTTGATTATTAACTCTGTGAACTTTGCCTTCTGCTTCAGTTTCCCCACATAAAAAATGGAGTTGATGATAAAACCTCTTAATTAAAAAGTTGTTGGGCCAGGGACATGTCTACAGCCTCAGCTACTTGGAGTTTGAGGCAGGATGGTGGCAAATTGAGGCTAGCCTTGGCGATTTAGTAAGACTGTCTCAAAATGGGATTGTACCTTCAGTGGTAGAGTGCTCCAGGTTCAATCCCCAGTATGGAGCAGTATGGAGCAGCAACCCAGTATGGGTGGGTTAGTGGGATTATTAAATTAATATCTAATATTTAGAACAATGCCTGTCTCACAGTAAATGCTCGATCTGCCCACTACCCCTTTTCTTTAATGCCAAATGTGACTGGTTCAGAATTCAGCTCATGATTCCAGAGAAGCCTTCCCCTTCACGTCCTTCAAATAGATAGGGACTAAATATAACAGGACAAGAAAGGAGTCATCTATCTATTAGCAACATACTATACTGCATTTCTCATTGTTTAAGTTTACATTACCTAGTAAGCTGCAAATTACATCTTATTTTTCAATTATTTACATACTTCAAATGCCTGGCACCATGTCACCAGTTTCATTGTTGGGCTGAGAAAAATCCAATCAGTTAAGACCTTATTTATTTTTCTTCCCAAATGTATCTTGTCCTTTCTTTCCTGCTATATTTCAAGGGCTTATCCTCTCTGCATAAATTACTGGAAAGCTTGTTAATATTGCTGACACCAATTTGTTTTCTTCTCACAACCACCAGAATGAGTTGAAAGCCATTCCTCCTCTCAAAAACTTACCTGTAAAATTAAAATCCAAATTCCCTATCATGCAACTTCAATAACTGGCCTCAAATTATTTCTACTAACCTTTCATTAGATCCTTTGATAAATTATGCTCCAGATTATATCCTATTGTTTTCCTTCACTTCACTTTTTTAAAAATATTTTTCTTTAATTGTAGATGGACATAATGACTTTATTTATTTATTCTTATATGGTCCTGAGGACTGAACTCAGTGCCTTACACGTGCTGGGCAAGTGCTGTACCACTGAGCCACAACCCCAGCCCATAACTTCACTTTTTAAAAAAAAAAAAAAATGTTTTGTGATACTAGAGATTGAACCCAGGGGCACACTACCACTGAGTCCATATATATATATATATATATATATATATATATATATATATATATGTTCTTTAGTTGTCAATGGACCTTTATTTTTATTTCTTTATATGAGGTGCTGAGAATTGAACCCAGTGCCTCACACATGGTAGGCAAGTGCTCTACCACTGAGCTACAACCCCAGCCCCGGGTCCTTTGTATTTAAGACAAGATCTCACTAAATTGCTGAAGCTGGCCTTGAACTTGGGATTCTCCTCCATCTGTCTTCTGAATAGCTGATATTATAGGCATGCACCACTGCATCTGGCTATCTCTGTTTTGTTTTTATTGGCACTGGGGATTGAAACCAGGGGTGCTCTTTCACTGAGCTATATCCTCAGCCCTTTCTATTTTGAAAGAGTCTCACTAAAGTCTGGCCTCAAACTGAATTCTCCTGCCTCAGTCACCCATGTTGATGGGAATACAGGCATGTACCACTGCACCTAGCCCTTCAATTGTTTTATATTGTGATCTCAAAACAGGTTGCAATGTTTTAGACCTTTAAGCATTTTTGTTTAAGCATTTTCTTTCTTTAAATATTCTTGGTTTTAGGTGGACACAATATCCTTATTTTACATTTATGTGGTGCTGATGATCGAACCTAGTGCCTCATGCATGCTAGGTGAGCACTCTACCACTGAGCCACAACCCCAGCCCCTTGAAGCATTTTCTTAAAGCAAGCCAAGATTTAAAAGTTGTGAGATGCTACATAAATGTTAAGATGTCCAGAGTTTTTTGAAAAATCATTAAAATTGGCAATATTTGGTACTTATTCTTGTATGGCAGACCTACACTGCCAGGTGTCTTCTCTCAAGGTATGTATTTTGGGGGGCTGGGGTTGTGGCTCAGTGGTAGAGCACCTGCCTGGCATGTATGAGGCACTGGATTTGATCCTCAGCACCACATAAAAATAAAGGTCCATCTGCAACATTAAAAAAAAGTTAAATAGAAAAGATATGTAGTTTTCATTTAGCCATCTTTAAAAAAAAAAAAAAAATCTTCCTACAACTGTACAGTGAAAAGATCAGACTAAAGGTGGAGCAATCGAGCATATCTCCTGATGTTAAGAAATACAAAGACTCTCCTGTTATGTCTTCTATCCTCAGAAATGTTTGGCTTGAATCTCTCAAGATTCTAATTTTGTTAAGTAAAACAGGGATTAGAGGAATCATTTTAAGTACTCTGTTTAAAAGCATCCAGCTAGTCAGTGGTGGAGCCCTTGCCTGGCATGTGGCCCTGGAGTCAGTCTCCAGCAGTGGGGGGGAAAAATGCCGCAGTGGCACACACCCCTTATAATCCCAGCAATGTGGGTGGCTGAGGCAGGAGGATAGCAAATTCAAGACCAGTATTAGCAATTTAGCAAGACCCTGTCTCAAAATAAAAAATGCTTGGGGCAGGGCTATAGCTCCATGGCAGGGCACTGTGAGGCACTGCATTCGATCCTCAGCACCACATAAAAAATAAACAAATAAAATAAAGGCATGATCTCCGCCTACAACTACAAAAAAAAAAAATTAAAAATAAGTAAAAAAATAGAAAAAGCTGGGAATGTAGCTTAGTGGTACAATCCTGGGTTCAATTATCAGTCCCACCCCCACACCCCACCAAAATAAAAGCAGTCAATCTATTGAAAAGACAATTCTCCAGGACAACTGGCCTAATCTCTTGAACAAATTAGTATTATATAAAAAAGGTTATTCTGGAAGTTCAAATAAAGAAAGTATACTGGGCCAGGTGCAGTGATGCACACCTATAATCCCAGCAATTTGGGAAGCTGAGACAGGAGGATTCCAAGTTCAAGGCAAACCTCAGCAATTTAGGAGGGCTCTAAACAAAAATTAAAAAAAAAAATAAAAAGGGCTGGGAATGTGACTAAATGATAAAGCACTCCTGGGTCCAATCTCTTATACCATTAAAAAAAAAAAAAAGACCACTGGTTTTATTTTCCTCTGTCCATACATTACTAGTAACCTTAGCATACTTATTATGCCTTATGATATATTCATTGCCATTAGGGAGTAAGTTCTTTGAAGGTAAGTGCCATTTTACCACATGAATACCCCAAGCCTCCCATTCTCACTGTTATCTTGCAGGACAGACATTCAATGAATATATTTCCAAAAACAGTTCTACCCCAAAGGAAGAAGATATGGTACCATTCATAACATTCCAAAGAATGAATAGCAGGTTCTTAAAGTAATTTTGGAGGAATTTCGGGGAAAACAGGACTAGTAGTATTACTTGGGTACAAATATTGCTCTTAAGCTCTATGTTGTGATGTGCCCATCATTATGTTCTAATCATACCTTATGTATATCAAAGTATTGACTCAGTGCAGGAATGCCTTTTCCCTCCAACTCACCAGTTTCTAGAATATTATTAGACTTACATTCGCTGCATGACAAATGCTCAAAAAACTTAAAATATAGTTGTGTGGGGAGTTCCTTCTCATGATGGGGAGAAGGTGGTGCCAGAAAGTGCTTAGAAAAAGACTTTATCAGTGTTTGATGACCACAGCAGGTATAGTTGCTTCAGGTTCCCTTCCTCACGTTTATTTTCTTGGTTAGGAGGTATCAGGGAGTGGAGGCCTCTCTGCCTGCAATGAAATTCCAGATTTCAAAGCAAAGGTGCTTGTGGGATAGGGGGAAAAGGTGTGCACCTTCTACAAAAAGTAACCCCAAGCCTAGCAACACAGAGAAGACATGGAATTTAGGGTAAAGGCACACCTTAGAAAGAACACAGTTCAGATCACTGGAGAGAGCTTTGGCTGATACAGAATAAGAGGAGGGGGAGGATGCAGGAGAGCACACAGAGCGAAGCAGATGTAGAGTACACACTATTCCTAGATAGACAGCTTCCAAAACAAAGGTCAGATCTAAGGTAAAGGTAAGGTTTACAAAGCAAGGAGAAGGATAATTAAGAGTGGAAGAAAAGCCAAACAGATGAGAAACTTTACCAAGAAAATGAGTAATGGTGAATTAAGAATTTAGAGGATTGAGTGAAAGGTTTATTATTAGTGCAGTCAACACAATGGAAGAGCATGTACAACACAACCAGCAACCTGCAGAGACACTAGTGCAAAGGGTAGGTAGGGAAGTCTCAACTGAGCTTTCCAGCTCCACCTGAGGGTTAAGGACAGGAGACTATGAACCTTGGTAAGGTAGGAAGGGGCAAAGGGAAGTGGAGGAAATGTAACCAGACTAATAATTATAGCAGTGTCTGCAAATTCCTGAGCACCATGTCCTAAAGCCAGAATATGGCTGGTTCCATACTCCCCTCAAGCTGTATCCCTCCACCCCAATTGAAGTGATGCTGTGACTTGACTAACCCAGACTAATAGCAAGTTGGCCTGGAATAAAATTCCAAAAAGAGAAGCTGTTATATGGTGGAGAGGAGCCCTTTGATTTTTCTCAAACCCCACTCCCACATATTTCATATTAAAATAATCATACCTACTACCTTCCCCTTCACTTATTCTGTCAGTCACTAATCATAGGGATCAAGGAATGCCTCAGGTAGCATAAAATGAAGTTGAAATCCTTAGGTGGACATGGGTGAGGCAAAGCACAGCCTGTTCTTGGAGACACAAGAGATAATTCTTATCCCTTGCCTGGTGAGGCTTAGAACCCAGCTATACAGCTCCAGGGAAACTTGAGGAGATGCACACACACACCCCCCATTTTTTTCTTGGTACTAGAGACTGAACCCAAGGTATTCTATCACTGAGCCAAATCCCCAACCCTTATTTATTTATTTATTTATTTTAATTTTGAGACAAGGTCTTGCTAAGTTGTAGAGGCTGGCCATGAACTTGATATCCTCCTTCCTTAGTTTTTTAAGTAGCTAAGACTACAGATGTGCTTCATTGCACCCAGCAGATGGATGCCTTCAAAATTAATGCTCTAAATCCAGAGTTTTACAATAAGACCCTAAAGGGCTGAAACCAAATTTCTTCAGGGGCACAGGCATTGATGTTGTGTGTCACATCCATCATGGGAGTAGAGGAATAACTCCTCATCTCAGATAGGTTATGGAGTGTCAGAGCAGGTATAAATTCAGTCAAGGACTCCCTTGGCTCCTCCTATGTTAAAGCCAAAGGTTGTGTTGAAAAGGAAAAATATAAAACAGACCCCTCCCTGACCCACCCTATCCAGAACCCCCACAATACGAACAGCAAAAGAAAAGTTTTAAGTTTTGTTGATATTTTTTTTTCCTTTCTTTAAAAAAAAAAAAAAAAGTAAATAAATTAAATTGCCAACAATGTGGCTGGACTAGCAAGTGGGGTAGTCATAACCAGGCCATTCTTTTAAAAAAAAAGGGGGGGGGGGACAGATGTGATTTGTGAAATATAAACAACAGCCAAAGGAAATTTATCAAAATAACTAACTACAATCACAGGTCTAGAGAGGGGTGTATGGAACTATTATGGGCATGACACAAGAGGCAGTATCTACCTGACTTCAGCAAAAGCCAGAGAGCAGCTTCTTGCTGAGCATATGAACCTCAACAGTCAAACCCCTACCCCAAACCCTGTCATTCCCTAATTATGAAAAAGTGGAAAACAGAGCTCATCTGGAAATTTCCAGCATTCCAACCTAGGAGCCTGCACCTTTAAGGTGGGCTGAACAGGGATGTGCTTCGCACAGAGGTCCAGTCTTCCCCTAAGGGCTATCAGTCATGGCCAATTACTGGCTTATTTACTTCTAGGGTTTTGGATCCACCCTTACCTTTTCTTCTAGATGTCTGTTCCTCAGAGCTGCCATATAAATGCTGCTTAGAATCAACAGGCCAGCCTGCTCTGATTCCCTGGTTTTAGAGTACAGGGATGATTAGCAATTCCTCATTCCAGCCTGATCCTCTAGGGAAAATAAATCTCTTTGTGCTTTCTGAAAATACCTGGAACCAGGGACCCTAGGCAGGAAAATACATAGGTGGGGACTTTCCCACCCATGCTGAGAATTAACAGACATTTTAGGGGAAGAAATATGGCAAAAGGCAGGAATCTGGGTTTCTCCCCTGAAAGGCTAAGCAAAGTGCTCCAGGACCCTTCAGTGCCAGAACAGCAGGGAGATGTGTGGCTCAAGTGTAAGCCGAGGCATTAAGGAGAGTGGGGAGGACGACTCAAGGCCCAGCTGCTGGAGTGATGGGGCTTTCCCGATTTCCATCTCTTCCTCATAGCTGGTCGAACTCTCCTATATCTCCTCCACGCCATGAGCAAATATCATGACAAGCCCTGGCTCCTGCACCATGTCATCACCCATATGCTGATTTTCACAGGCCATCACAACAACAGCCTGCTTGCCAGGGATGCGCTTGGCCACGTAGTTCTCATAGTAGCGCCGGTTCATCTGTCTTGTCTCTAATGTGGCCAGACCCTGGGGCCAGCTGCGTTCGTGGGCATTTTCAATCAGCTCGTTGACAATAGAGGCAGGGCAGCCACTCTCCACCAGGGAGCGCTTGATTACAGCCTGGAGCACAGCATCTGGGGTTGAGATCATCCCTCCCCAGCGGGTCACTCTGGCCGGCTGCAGGGAGTTCACCCACCTGTGTGGAAGGGGTTGGAGGTGGTCATTTGAGCTCATCACCTTTATCTACTTTGGCTTTTTCTCTTAAGAGGAATGACCACCCACTCTGCAGTTAGCTAGCGTCTATTCTTCCTTCTCCTTCCAGTACTGGCTCAGAAACCCCAAATCTTTCCCTAGATGATCACATCCAAGTCACCACAAGTTACTCACCAATTAAATTCCATGAGTCTACACTATCCTTGAATTTTCTTTGAAATCCCAAATGCTTAGCACTTATAGTGCCTAGCACGCAGTAGGTGCTCAACAAATGTTTATTGATTCCTCTATACTGAGTCCCCGCTAGGCACTATTGCCCTATATATATCAATTCACACTTACATTTAGTCTATGAACTGTATAGCACTCCAGAACTGAAAGGGATCTTAGACTTGTTACTTCACTTGTTTTTGCGGCATTTTAGATCACTTTCCTGGATTTGTACTCTCCCTCTTCTTCTCTGGGTTGTAAGCTACCTGAAGACAGGGACAATATCTTCTATTTCTTTTTGGCCCTCTTATGACTCCACAGCTTTTAAAACAGGGCTTTGTTCTTGGTGGTACTCACCTAGTTCTGGAAAAACTGCATCCTTGGGCAGGATTCCCTGTCCATCCACCCAAATGAATAAGAGATCCTGTCCTGGAATTGAGGGTTATCCTCTTCTCCTCTGCCTTTGTCCTTTACCCAAATCTGAGAAGCAGTGGCCCTGGCCCAGTTTTCTTACTGCCCTTCTCTGCCACTCCCCTGTTATTCCTCCTTTCAGGCTTTGGTGCCAGGACGTGGAGTCTGACTCCATATCCTGAGTGACACTCACTCTAGGATCTCGTTGTATTCAATCGTCTCCTCCAGGTTCTGAAGGTTGGGGTTGACACTGCGGATTGCACGCATGTATGCCTTTAACAGCTGGATGTCTCGCTTCTGTTGGAGGGAAGGAGAACCAGGGATGATAGTTTAGGCAGACAAGATCTGAGAACCAAGGAAACTGAAAGATCTGAGAAACATGAGACTGTTAGCTTCAGGAAAACAAGAATAGGACTATCTCATTTCCAGCTGTCTCCCCAATGCTTAGCAAAGTGCCTTTACAGAGAAGGCATTTGATAAATGTTAGGTGCATAAATGACATGAAGGGATGAAGGGAAGTCAAATACCCACTCACCAGGGCTTACAAGCACAACCACAAATCCATGTGTTCACGGTGGTGTCTGTCACCCACAGGCATGCAGTTATTTGAATATGAGGCAAATGTTCTACCCCATGTTCTCTGAGCCCTACCTGTTCCGCCAACTGGTGTTTATGTTCAGCTGACGTCTTCTCCAGCTCTGCAATACGTGTCTGCTGCTGTTGTACCACGGAACGCAGGTGCTTAATGCAGTTGTGGTTTGGCAGCTCATCTTTGGGCATCTCCAGGCTGCAGTCCAAAGTGGGGAAAGAGCAGAACAGGCCCTTTCAATGGGTCATGTAGGCAAATGGCCTAGTCAGTGGCAGAAAATTGATGAGTGGGATATCTCCTACCCCAGATATCTAACATTCATTTCAGGCCTTCCTTTGTTTATTCCATTAACTTTCTTCCCCCAGACTTCTTCCTTCTCCTTTGCTCTACTTTATCTGAATTTCTTTCATCCTTTAAGATATAGTACTACGGGGATTTTTTTCCTTTTCTTTTTTTATTATTTTCTTGTGCCTTTAATAGCCACTCCTACTTAGTATGGCCCTCCTAAACTGAGAGGGGGATTTCTAGGTATATTGCTAAACCACCCTGTTAAAACTGAGTACAGGGAAGCAAGAAAGGTAAAAGCCAGGACAAGAAAAGACAAGAGTGTTTTATCAATCATACGGGTTTTTTCTCCTATAGATTCTGCCTGTGCACTTATTTATTCTGAGAAATCCTAGATTCACTGCCTCTGCTATCAGCATTTAATCAAATATTTCTAACTCAAAAAAAGAAAAAATAGGGCAGGAGAGAGAAGCCTGGAAATTAGAGCAGTCAGCCTGACTAATAGAAAGCATTATGAGCCTGAAAGGGAAAAATAAAGTAAATCAATTTTTAGTGTTATCACCTAGATTGCTGAATTGCTGTCCTCTTATTAAAACAAAAACTTAGAAAGCAGCAAGAAAGTGACATTTGGGGCAGAGAACCAAGAGGGTCAGGTATGTCTGTGCCTACATGCACAGAAAACCTCCTTAGCAAGTGGGCAGGGCATCCAGATGCAGGAACAGAAATGAGAACCCCTTATCAGTGTGGGGCAGAAGGGAAGGAATCTCACCCGCAGCCCTGTTCACAGGTCACAGGCCGCTTTGGGTTGTGCTCACAGTCACTGAGGTGAGACATGAGGTTGTCAAGACGGACAACAGCACTACAGCCAAACACAGCGTTGTCACAGGCAATCTGCAGCTTTGACAACATGTTCCGCATGATCCGAGGTACTGGGCGCAGGTGGGCAACTGTCACAACGCTACGGTCCACTGGACACGTCTGCTGCTGAGAGAACCACTGGGTGATGCAGGCGTTGCAGAAAGCATGCTCACAGTGAGGTGCCTAAGAAGAGAGAACAGAGAAAGAGGGACACAAGGAAATTAGTAGGAGCTAAGAACCTGGATATAACTACAAAAACAATTGAGCCTTTGAAAAGCTTCTAGAACCAAAGGTCCCTAGGGTCACAGCAAATTATAGATATACTATGGGCAAGGCATTTTGGGATCAGGCTTAAGATATATTTCCTGTGCTCAAGAATACAAATGGGAGTCAGGTGCAGTGGTGCACGCCTGTAATCGCGAGCTCAAAGCCAGCCTCGGCAAAAGCAAGGGGCTTAGCAACTCAGTGAGACCCTGTCTCTAAATAAAATACAAAATAGGGCTGGGGATGTGGCTCCGTGGTGGAGTGCCCCTGAGATTAATCCTTTGTACAAAAAAAAAAACAAAAAAAACAAACAAACTGCTCAATAGGTGTAGTGGTGCACGCCTGTGATCCCAGATACTTGGGAGGCTAAGGCAAAAGCATCAGCAATTTAGTGAGATCCTATCTCAAAATAAAACAAAAAAAAGGGATTGGGATGTGGCTCAAGGGTTAAGCACTGCTGGGTTCATTCCCTGGTTCCAAAAAATAAAAATAAAAAACCAAACAGGTTGTGAGACAAGACAAACAAGTAAAAAGTTACATAACAATAAGAGATATAAATAACATTCCAGGACAATAGGAGATGACATAAGACAATTATTGTCAACTGGACTGCACATATAATAATTGGCAAATAAATAAAGACCAGAGGAGGGTGAGATCTTTCCAGACTAGGTCAATCATAGCAGATTATTTATGGAGAAGCCAAAATTTGATATGAATCTTGAAGGATGATTCAGATCACAGATATGGAGAAGAGGGAGAAAAGATTTACTGGTAGAGGATCAGTATAAGAGAGCAGAACAAGAAATGCCTGGGACTCCTGTTGAGAAGTAAGAAACCGCTCTACATAGATCCAAGTTGTTATAAAATAAGAAGGCTGACCTTAGGAGTCGCCATGAGTCCCAACAGACACACTTAAACTCCTAAACAGGGCCAGAGTTTTCTATAAATTACTGAATATCTTCTAACTGGATTTCCTACTCCTACCTTGGCCCTCCCCCAAAGACTTTTAATTAATTAATTTATTTTGAGATAGGTCTCACTGTGCTGCCCAAACAAGCCTTGAACTTGCAACTCTCCCACCTTAGCCCTCCCAGTAACTGATATTTACAGGTAAACACTGCACCTGGTTACCCCCTTCCTTTTATAATCCATTCTGCATTTAACAGCCAGAATAAGCATTTAAAAATGCAAAACCCCAACTGTGGTGGCACATGCTTGTAATCCTCCAGAGGCTGAGGCAGTAGGATCTTGAGTTTAAAGCCACCCTCAGCAAAGTGAAGAGGTAAGCAACTCAGTGAGATCCTATCTTTAAATATAATACAGAATAGGGCTGGGGATGTGGCTCAGTGGTCAAGTGCCCCGAGTTCAATCCCCAGTAACCAAAATTAAAAATTAAAATGCAAACCAAACCATATCATTCCCATGCTTAAAAATTTACAATGGGACTGGGCACGGTGGTGCATGCCTGTAATCCAGTGGCACGGGAGGCTGAGGCAGGAGGATCTCAAGTTCAAAGCTAGCCTCACAACTCAGCAAGGCCCTAAGCAACTCAGCAAGAACCTATCTCTAAATAAAATACAAAATAGGGCTAGGGATGTGGCTCAGTGGTCAAGTATCCTCCCCCAAAAAAATTTACATTGGAGGCTCCACAATAGAGCACTTGCCTAGCACACATGAGCCTCCAGGTTTGATCCTCAGCACAAAAACAACAATAAATTTCTTTCCACGGTTTCCCACTGTACTTAAAATAAATCTAAACTCCTACTTAGGACCTATAAACTCTGCCTAATCTGGGCCTGTGTCTCTGACTCTCACCTTATGCTATATTCCCAGCAATGTTCAGGCCATTTTGGCTTTCTTTCTGTTCCTTGACCATACCAGCTCATTTCTGCCCCAGAACTTTGTGTATGTGCACATGTGTGAGAGTGGAGAGCAGGGGAAGGAAGGAGGAGAAAGGGAGGGGGAAAGGAAGAGAGAGACAGGCAGACACAGACACATTAGAGATTGAACACAGGGGCCTTTACTACTAAGTTACATCCCCAGCCCGTATTTTTATTTTTTATTTTGGTGGGGTCTTGGTAAATTGCTCAAGCTGGCCTCAAACTTGTGATCCTCTTGCCACAGCCTCCTAAATCCCTGGGATTACAGGCATGTTTCATCACATCCAGCTAGAACCTTTCTTTTTTTTTTTTTAATATCTATTTTTTTTTAGTTGTAATTGGACACAATACCTTTATTTTATCTATTTATTTTTATGTGGTGCTGAGGATCAAACCTAGGGTCTCACATGTGCAAGGTGAGTGCTCTGCTGCTGAACCACAACCCCAGCCCCTAGAACCTTTCTTTTACTGCTACTCTGTGCTTAAAATTAATGCCTTCCTGCAGATCATAACATGAAAGCCCCTTATCATTCAGGTCTTGGTTCAACTATCAACTCTTATTTATTTATTTACTTACTTATTTTTTGTGGTGCTAGGGATTAAACCCAGGGCCTTATGAGTGCAAGGCAAGCACTCAGCCAACTGAGCTATATTCCCAGCCCCCTCTTTTTTTCTTTTCTTTTCTTTTTTTTTTTTAGAGCATCATAGTTATACATAGTAGTTGGGTTCATTTTGATAAAATCAAACATGCAAGGAACTTGATTTCAATTCCCATTCCCCCGTTTTCCTCTCCTCCTCCCTTTCCCCATCTCCCCCCTCCTCTACTCTACTGGTCTTCCTTTTGCTCCTTTATTTATTTTTGATGGGTACTTTCTACATATACATTACACTGAAATTCCCTTTGATACATTTATATATACACATAACATGATTTTGTTAGAGGTATTCCATATTTCCTCCCTTTTTCCATCCTTCCTTGCTCCCTCTTATTCATCTTCAACTCCTCTGATAAAAGATTTATGATATCTGAACCCCAACTCCCACTGCCTTCTTTCTCTTACTTTGCTTTATCTACCACATATGACAGAAAATATTCAAACCTTGATTTTCTGACTCCAGCTTATTTCACTTAGCATAATGTTCTCCATTTACCAGCAAATACCATTATTTCCATCTTCTTTATGGCTAAAACTCCACTGTGTATATATATACTTGATATATATATTTCTTGATTCACTCATCTACTGATGGGCATCTTGATTGATTCCATAACTTGGCTATTGTGAATTGCAACTATCACCTCTTTAATGATTATCCTAATTCAAACCCACCATTGCTACAGAAGTGTACAGAATGAGCAACCTTTTGTAGAGTTGTATACTCCCCCCACATATCTACTCCCTGAAGGGATACCAAATAATTTTTTTTTTTTTGAGAGAGAGAGAATTTTAATATTTATTTTTTTTTAGTTTTCGGCGGACACAACATCTTTGTTTGTATGTGGTGCTGAGGATCGAACCAGGGCCGCACGCATGCCAGGCGAGCGCGCTACCACTTGAGCCACATCCCCAGCCCCCAAATAAATTAATAAAAATAGGTAGACAGGGACAAGGACAGAAGTGAGAATTCTCTTTTTTTTTTTTTTTTTTTTTTTTTTACCAGGGATTAAACTCAGGAGTGATTAACCACTGAGTCACATCCCCTTCCCTTTTTTTGTGTGTATGGTGCTGGGGATTGAACCCAGGGCCCTATGCATGTGAGGCAAGCACTCTACCAACTGAGCTATATCCCCAGCCCTTTTGTTTTATTTTGAGATAGGGTCTTGATAAGTCACTTAGTGCCTCACTAAGTTGCTGAGGCTGGTTTCAAACTTGGAATCCTCCTGCCTCAGCCTCTAGAACTGCTGAAATTATAAGTGTGTGCCACCATGCCCAGCCATCTTTTCATACTATTTTTATTTCTTTTTTTCTTTCTTTCTTTTTTTTTTTTTTTTTTTTTTTGTGGTGCCCAGGATTGAAGGGATTGAACCCAGGGCCTTGTGCTTGCAAGGCAAGCACTCTTATCAACTGAGCTATATCCCCAACCCACTATTTTGATTTCTTAACCATATAAATGTAATACCTATTCCAAAAATAAATAGAGCTGGGGGCTGGGGCTGTAGCTCAGTGGTAAAGCACTTGCCTCATACATGTGAGGCACTGGGTTCAACCCTCAGCACCACATAAAAATAAATAAAACAAAGATATTGTGTCCATCCACAAATAAAAAACATTTTTTAAAATATTTTATTTTGGTTAGCAAGTGATGTGGATAGCAACAGAATGTGATGGACATCATTATCCAAAGTACATGTATGAAGACACAAACTGGTGTGAACATACTTTATATACAACCAGAGATATGAAAAATTGTGCTCTCTATGTATAACAAGAATTGAGCAACCTTTTGTATAGAGTTGTATTCCACTATCATTTATTTGAAAAATCAATTAAAAATATTTTGTTTTAGTTGTAGTTGGATACAATACCTTTTTTAAAAAATTTATTTTATTATTATATGGTGCTGAGGATCAAACCCAGCGCCTTTTGTGTGGGTTAGGTGAGTGCTCTACTGATGAGCCACAACCCCAGCCCCTAAAAAAACATTAAAAAAAAAATAAAGAGCTGGGAGTATAGCTCAGTGGTGGGAGTATGCTTAGCATGTACAAGGCCCTGGGTTCTAGCAACAAAACAAAACAAAACCAAAAAACCAAACAGCTGCATGCAGTGGCATACGCCTGTAATTCTAGCAACTCAGGAGGCTAATGCAGGAGGATCACAGCTACAGACCAACCTAGGCAACTTTGAGAGACCCTGGCTGAAAATAAAAAAAATTAAAAGGATGGAGGATATAGCTCAGTAGGAAAGTATACCTGGTTTCAATCTGCAGTACTACAACAACAAACAAACTATGGCATGGCATTAACATCCTTAGCAGGGGCCTTCACCCTTGGAAATATGCCTAGTATCACAAAGTTTGCCTCCCCTGCTCCTTAGAAGGTAAATCTTAGAGGTGGATAGATGGTTTCTAACTAGCACTCACCTCTTTATAAGTGTCTTGCTTCAAATGACACCAACAGAAAACAGACAAGGCCCTGTCAGAGAGGGAAGGGAACCCGACACACCCCATGATCTCTGGACATCATAAGGATAGCTCACTCCACACCTATTCAATATGTCTCTAATAGCAGTAGGCTGCAAAGACCTAGAAAAGGGATAGTCAATGGAGGGCTGCTTTTGGAATGTAGTCTGAATTTTATTCAGCTCAACCATATGTGCTTCTTTGGATGATTGGAAACTGGAGAAAAATAATCAACTCAAAGGTTCAAGGGGGAGTCCCTGGGAATTATATAAGCAGTAAATATGAGACCTCACTGATTGGTGTCCTTGTTTGGAAAATGGGATTACCTCTAGTTGGCTGGGAGTAGCAGAGGATTAATTGGTATTTACAGAATGAGGGTAATAAGGATCATGTAGGATGATGTCCCATGAATGCAACAGTTAAGGAATCACCTTACTCATTGTATTTGACTGGTAATACTAAGCTTCTTCTCAAACTTGCCCTAAGAAGGTATGAGTGACTCTGGTTGGGCAAGGCTAGCAAAAAAATAACCTACTGATGCCAACAGCTTTCATGTCAAATTACAGAATGCATGGCTGTACAAAAGTTGATCTACTTAATAGATCCCTGGAAGAAACCATCAGTAAATGTAGTTCCCACTTCCTATGTGTTAATAAAAGAGGTCTACAGAGAGACTAGCTGATTATCAGGAACACTACATCATCAAAATTCAGAGAGAACTTATCAGGAATCCAGAAGGTCAAGCATGGAAAGGAAGATGAATCTAGTCACAGTTCCTGCAGACAAGAGGCAGTTATGAAGCCACTGCCAGAAGAAACAAATAGTTGGGTAACAAAAGCACACACTGCCTCAGTGATCTCAACTACTCAAGAGGCTTAAGTAGACGGATCCTAAATTCAAGGCCAGCCTCAGCAACTTAAGGAGACCCTGCCTAAAATAAAGTAAAGGCTGGGGATTGTAGATCAATGGTGGAGCACTTGCCTAGCATATGCAAGGCCCTGAATTTGATCCTCAGAATCATAAAAGTAAAAAAGAAGAAAAAACAAGCTACTGACTATTTTACAGCAGAAATATCTTAGAGCAACCTTATAAGAAAATCTGAAGCAGGGGATCTATGGCATCCATCTCAGGATAGACTCTGGAAGGCCCTATTCTTCTTGGAGCCACCACTGCTCCTCTGTACCAAACCTCTATTAAGGTTGGGGAGGGGAAGTAAAACATAGTGACTTCCCCATGGATTCCATTTCTCATGAACATTTTCTACTAGTTCCACTGCTACCTCTTGCCCTACTAAACCCACCATGCAACCAACTCACCTGTACTGGCTCCTCCAAGACCCCACTGCAAATAGGGCAGATAAGATCTTCGTCAACATCCCCCTGGAAACGGGTTACATCATACCCCATGTCTCATCACTGAAACCCAGATCCTGGAAGAAACAACAGAGGAAAAAGAGGCCAGTTCAGAAAGTCTACCACAATGTGGTGAAAATGAACTCATTGCCAAGATTAATTCATTTATCCAACAAATATTTATTAAGAGTCTAATAAGTACCAGTAATTTAGGGGAAAAAAAAATAAAAGCTGACATAAGAAATTTAATTTAAGGACTGGGGTATAGCTCTGTGATAGAGTACTTGCCTAGCATGAGCGAGGTCTGGGTTCAATTTCCAGCACCAGGGGGAAAAAAAAAAGGAAGAGGGATAAAGTGGATAGAGGCCTTGAAAGGTTAAGTACGAGCACAAGTACAGCACTGTGTTAAGTCAAAATGAACTGGATTCACATGCTTACTCTCACAAATTAGCTGTATAGCACAGGGAAAGCTACAAAACCTTCCTAAGCCTAAATTGTTGAGCTGCCATAAAGTGCAATCTTAAATGCTCCAAAATCCAAAACTTTTTGAGTACTACAAATGGAAAATTCCATACCTGATCCCATGTGATAGGTCACAATCAAAACACAGGTACACTAAAGATATATATAATGAGCTATGCCAATCATGGTGGTACATGCCTGTAATCTCAGCAAATCAGGAAGCTGAGCTAGGAAGATTGCAAGTTCAAGGACAGGTTGGGCAACTTATGGAGAACCTGTCTCAAAATCAAAAGAGCTGGGGATGTAGCTTAGTGGTCCAGCACCCCTGGGTTCAATCCCCAGTACAGGGGGCGGAAAAGAAAGATATTAGGTTTGGGATGTATGTATATAAAATAAAAACAAATTTAATGTTTAGACTTGGTCCCATTCCCAAGATGTTTCATTGCACACATGAAAACATTCCAAAATCCAATTAAATCCAAAATCCAGAAATTCGGGTCCCAAGCATTTTGGATAAGGGATGCTCAACCTACACTTGATTAAAAGTTCCTTTAAAGTAGGAATTCATGTCCCTTTCTATATTCAATGTAGTACTGAAGCCAAATTACTTACATAAAACAAATCAATAAAGTGTTTGGTGTTTTTTGTTTTGCTTTGATTTGTTTCGGTCTGGTACTAGGGATTGAATCCAGAGTTCTTTAATGCTAAACTATATCCCAGATCTTTCTCTTTTCATTCTGAGACAGGGTCTTGGCTAAGTCACCCAGACTGGCCTCAAATTTGTGATCCTCCTGCCTCAAACTACAAATTCCAAATTAGAGGCATGCCCTACTATGCCCAGCTAAGTGTTTGTTTAAATGTTGCTTTAACTGGGAGCTTCACAGTAATGATGTGAAGTTTTTTTTTAAGAGACGGTTTTTTTTTTTTTTTTTAGTTATGCATGGACACAATATCTTTATTTTTTTATTTATTTTTATGTGATGCTGAACATGTGCAAGGCGAGCGCTCTACCACTGAGCCACAACCCCAGCCCCTAGTATCCTGTTTTCTTAAATAACACTAAAATTTTCTTTTAGGAATCATACCATGGTTCCAATGGACATGTGGCCCAAACCAAGACGGTGAGACTGTTGCCAAGAACCTTCCTGGTACTATCAAGAAAGCCCTTCCCCTGGGGTCACAGTTGACAGGATGAACCACTCAGAGTAGCTGGGGACCATCTCTGCCATTAGCTTGCTTATAAGAATGAAGGGCTGGTAATATAGCTCAAAGGTACAGAACATATCTAGCAGGCCCTTGGTTGAATGCTCAGTACCACACATACACACACACATAAAAAAGGTTGATATAAGGTAAGAAATCATATTCATAATTTTCATAATATTCAGTAAAGTCCTGGATTCTGCCTTGCCTAAAGCACAATCGCCACCCCCCACCATTTGGGATGGGTACTGGGGATTGAACCCAGAAGTTCTTTACCACTAAACTACATCCCCAGCCCTTTTTCTTCCTTATAGGAAGACAGGGTCTCATTAAATTGCTGAAGCTGGCCTCTACCTTGTAATCTTCCTATCTGAGCCTCCCAAGTTGCTGGGATTATAGTTGTGTGCCACTGTACTAGGCTAAATTTATATATTTTAACTATTTTGTATGGTGCTGGGGATTGAACCCAAGGCCTCACACTTGCTAGGCAAGTACTCTACCATTGAGCTATATCCCCATTGTCAATGTTTTAACTTTATTTTGATGATTTCAGATTTACAGAGAAGTATTAAGAACAGTACAAAGAATTTCCATATCCCCTTCATCCAGATCTCCAAATATTAACATTTTACATTTATTTTATAGTTTGCTCTATATATACATATTTAAATTTGGGGGGGTGCCTGTAATCCCAGTGGCTGGGGATGTGGCTCAGTGCTTGAGTGCCCCTGAGTTCAATCTCTGATACTGAAGAAAAAAAAAAAAGTAGAAGAAAATCCTGGAGAAAAGGGGCTCATAAAAGTCGAAGAGGGGCTAGGGATGTAGCTCAGTGGTAGAGTGCTTGCCTAGCATGCAAGTTGCGAAAGGCCCTCAGTTCAATCCACAGTGCCAAAAACACACAAACAAAAAAATTAATCAGAAAAAAAATAAAATCATTTGCGCTTTTAACCAGACAAGGTGGCGCACACCTGTAATCCCAGCAAGCTGGGAGGCTGAGGCAGGAGGATCTTGAGGTCAAAGCCAGCACCAGCAATTTATCAAGACCCTAAGCAGCTCAGCAAGACCCTGTCTCAAAATAAAAAATAAAAAAGGGATAAGAACATGGCTTAGTGCTTAAATGCCCTGGGTTCAATCCCCAGTACCAAAAAAAAAAAAAAAGGCTTCAAATGTAGCTCAGTGGTAAAGTACCCCAGTACCAAAACCAGTAACAATAATAATTGGTGCTTTTAATGCACCAGATAAAAACCTACAGCTATGAGGTCACTGCAAAATAACACATGTAAAGTATGCCTCCATGTGTGCAAAAAAAAAAAAAAAAAAACCAATATATATGTGTGCACATGCTTATATGTGTTTGGAACTCTCTAGAGGATACACAGGAAATTGCTAACAGTGCTTGCTGCTGAGAAGTGGGGACTAAGGCATAGAGATAAGAGGGGAATTTTAATTTTTCTATTTCTCTGTACCCTTGGAAATATTTGTTTGTGTAGTATTCACAATTCAAATATATCTATAATTATATTAAATTGTGAAAGAATGTATAGAAAATATTTACTTCATGTGTCATGTGCTATATATGTCATGTGTGGCATATAAAATACACACATGTTAAGATATTACATACTATAGCAAGGCCTAGAAAAAATGTACTCTTGCAAGAAAAGGTTGAATACAATTGAATTATGACATAAACTTGGTAAATATACTAAAAAGTATACACTCTTCTAACAATTCTACCTAGAGAAACTTATCCTAAGGAAGTAATTACCCAAGGGTACAAAAATAAATGAATCTAGTTGTCTATTTAAGTGTTGTGTATAGTAGCAAAATATCAGAAATATCATAAATATTGAGAATTTCTTAAATCCATAAAATTGAATATCATGTAGCATTCATACGACTTAAGACATAATTATTTCTCATCAGTAACATTTATTTAACATTTATTGTTTATATAATTTTTACAGATCTTATATGCCATAGTTCTATTTTTGTTTAAAAACAAAAATATATTCATTCTCATTCCAGTCAGAATGGCAATTATCAAGAATACAAGGAACAATAAGTATTGGCGAGGATGTAGAGAACAAGGTACCTTCATACATTGCTGGTGGGACTGCAAATTGGTGCAATCACTATGGAAAGCAGTATGGAGATACCTCAGAAAACTTGGAATGGAACCACAATTTGACCCAGCTATCCCACTCCTTGGTTTATACCCAAAGGACTTAAAATCAGCATACTACAATGACAACAGCCACATCAATGTTTACAGCTGCTCAATTCACAGTAGCTAAACTGTGGGACCAACCTAGATGCCTTTCAACAGATGAATGAATAAAGAAAATGTGGTACATATACATAATGAATATTACTCAGCTTTAAAGAAGAATGAAATTATGGCATTTGCAGGTAAATGGATGGAACTAAAGAATATCATGCTAAGTGAAATAAGGCAATCCCAAAAAACCAAAGGCTGAATGTTTTCTCAGATAAGGAGATGCTGATCCATAGTGGGGTGAGCGGTGGGTAGGGAAGAATGAAGGAACTTTGGTTTGTGTACAGGGGAAAGAATGGAGAGGTGGGGCTGTGGGGATGGGAAGGACAATAGAATAAGACAGACATTATTACCCTATATACACGTACGATTACACTACTGGAGTAACTCGGCACCATGTATAGCCAGAGGAATGAGAAGTTGTGCTCCATTTGTGTACATTATGTCAAAATGCATTATAGTGTTATATACAACTAATTAGAAAATAAAAAATAAAAATTTAAAAAATGTATATATATTTATATGCTGTGTATTCACATTTATATTTTCTTTTTTTTTTATAGGGGTTGGTAACAAGGGATTGAACCCAGGAGCATTTTAACACTAAACTACATCCCCAACACTTTTTTATTTTGAGACAGGTTCTCACTAAATTGCTGAGGCTGGCCTTGAACTTGTGATCCTTTTGCCTCAGCCTCCTGAGTTGCTGGGACTGCAGGCATGTACCACCATGCCTGGCCACATCTATATTTGAAAACATCTCAAAGGATATCTATTATAAAAGCCATTTTTAAGTATACATTGTTAATACTTTTAATTTCATTCTCAGTTTTGCTTTTAGTTTTTCTTACTTCTTCTACAATGATTTTTTTTTTGTTATTTTTGTGGTGCTGAAGATCAAACTTGGAATGATCATGTTTTATATATACTATTAAACAATAACGAAGACAACAATTATTGAACATTACTAAGTGTTTGGCACTATTTTAAGCATTTTTGGAATATTAGCTCATCTAATCCTTATAACAACTCTATGAGGTCAATACTATCATTATTCACATTTTACAGATAAGTAACACAGGTGCAAAGGTTAAAAAGCCTATCCAAAATCATACAGCTAACTGGTGTAAAGCCAGATTCAAACCAGGTGGACTGGCTCAGAATGAAGCCTTTTTTTTTTTTTTCTTAATATATATATATATATATATTTTTTTTTTAATTTTTCGGTGGACACAACATCTTTGTTTGTATGTGGTGCTGAGGATCGAACCCAGGCTGCACGCATGCCAGGCGAGCGCGCTACCACTTGAGCCACATCCCCAGCCCCAATTTTTTTTTTTTTTTTAGTTGTTGATAGACCTTTTTTTTTTTTTTAATTTATTTACATGTGGTGCTGAGAATTGAACCCAGTGCCTCACACATGCCAGGCAAGTGTACTACTAAGCCACAGTCCAGCCCCTCAGAATCAAGCCTTTTAACCATTATACTTACCTGCCTCCCCAAATGAAAAATGCAAGTTGGGGCTGGAGTTATGGCTGAGCAGTAGAATGCTCGCCTAGCACATGAGAGGCCCTGGGTTCAACCCTCAGCACCACATAAAAATAAATAATAAAATAAAGGTATTGTGTCAATAAAGGTATTGTGTCCAATTACAACTAAAATATAAATATTTTTTTAAAAGGAGGGGCTGGGATTGTGGCTCAGCAGTAGAGTGCACGCCTAGCACATGTGATGCCCTGGGTTCGATCCTCACCACCACTTAAAGAAAGAAAAATGCAAGTTGCCAAAACAGTATGCATACAATGGCCCATTTTTATAAAAATAAATTTAAAAAGGAAAAGTCATATAGGTAAATATTTTTTAAAATCTAGATGCTGGAGCCTTTTTTTTTTTTTTTTTCTTTTTGGTATCAGGGATTGAACCCAGGATTGCTTAACCACTTAACCACTGAGCCACATCCCCAGCCCTTTTTTGTGTGTGTGTGGTGCTGGGTGCTCAGGGCCTTGTGCATATGAGGCAAGCACTTTACAAAATGAGCTACATTACAGCCCCCCAGCCCTTTTTTATATTTTATTTTGAGACAAAGTCTTACTAAATTGCTTAGGGCCTCACTAAGTTGCTGAGGCTGGTCTCTCAAACTTGCAATCCTCCTGCCTCAGCCTCTTCAGCCGCTGGGATTACAGGCATGCACCACCATGCCCAGCTTGCTGGGAGTATATTTTAGATCTAGGTTGTACATTTCTGCAAAATTTGAGTTTTAAAACAATGAGTTATCCTTAGCAAGTTGTGAAAATTAATATTACCTTTTTTTCTTTTCTTTCCTGAGGCAATGTAGAAAACAGGCCTAGAGTTTGTATTGTGCTTCATTACTGTCATTTTAAATCAATGTTAATGATAATGTCTTAAAGAAATCAAGTACTGAAAATTATATGAATTGGGTTTCAGAAGATCCCACATCCCCCCCAAAAAATAGCAAAAAAACTTCCCTCAATTGGTGCACAGATACAGAAAGAGGGTAGAAAGCCATCAGCCAAGTATTAAGAATTAAAAGGTTCCCATATAAAGTCAGGGTTTAGATAACTCTGTAGAGCTGCTAGTCACAGTTGTTTTTAAATCTGACCACATCCCTACACTTAGTTGTCTGGAGATTTTCCTACTTTATCCTTCTTCCTGTACCTGTACCCTTTCTGAGGTGTAGCATTAAGAATTAATGGGCCAGGGGCTGGGGATGTGGCTCAAGCGGTAGTGTGCTCACCTGGCATGCGCACAGCGCTGGGTTCGATCCTCAGCACCACGTAAAAATAAAATAAAGATGTTGTGTCCGCCAAAAACTAAAAAATAAATATTGAAAAACTCTCTCTCTCTTTAAAAAAAAAAAAAAAAAATTAATGGGCCAAGTGCAGTGGTACACACATGTAATCCCAGCAGCTTCGGAGGTGGAGGCAGGAGGATCACGAGTTCAAAGCCAGCCTCAGCAATTTAACAAGGCACTAAGAACTGAGACTCTGTCTCTAATAAAATACAAAATAGGGGTAGGGATGTGGCTCAGTGGTCAAGTGTCCCTGAGTTCAACCCCTGGTACCCCCTTCAAAAACAAAGAGTTAATGGAAACCAGGCACAGTGGTACACACCTGTAATCCCAGCAGCTTCGGAGGCTGAACAGGAGGACCACAAACGCCAGCCTCAGCAGCTAGGTGAGACCCTAAGCAACTTAGTGAGACCCTGTCTCTAAATAAAATACAAAATAGGGCTGGGGATGTGGCTCCATGGTTGTTGAGTGTCTCTGGGTTCAATCCCCAGTACCAAAAAAAAAAAAAAAAAAACTAATGAGAAGGGCTGCAATTATAGCTCAGTGGTAGAGTGCCTGTGTGCTTGCCCAGTATGTGTGAGGCACTGGGTTTGATCCTCAGCATCACATATAAAATAAATAAGTAAATAAATAAATAAAGGTGTATTAAAAAAAGTCAATAGATGATGCCTAAAAATTTAAAAAGAAAAAAAAAGAATTAATGGGAAATTCACATTTCTAATCTGGTTAGGGTATTCCCTATTCCTCACCTATGAGAAACAAATGTTGATATGGTTATACACAATCTTGAAAGTCAATTCTCTGATTTGGCTTTGTTCTGTCCCTAGGCACAGTCTAAATCTGATAGGTTAGGCTCATTTGACTATACCTTCAAATCTCTGAAACTTCCAACACAGCTACTGGCTGGCCCAGAGGCCAGTCCAGTTATTATTCCAATAGGGAAGCCTCAGAAAAATTCAGCTGCTTATCACCCTGGAGCAAAAGGCCTAGTAAAATGGTAACCACAAGAACCTCAAGAGTCACAACTAGCAGGGCACAGTGGTACACACCTGTAATCTCAGCTCCTTGGGAGTCTAAAGCATGAGATCGCAGGTTCAGCAATTTAGCAAGGCTCTTAAGAAACTTCATGAGACCCTGTCTCAAAATAAAAAAATTAAAAGGAAGGGCTGGGGACTTAGCTCGGTGGTCAAGCGTCCCTGGGTTAAATCCCTAGTCCCCCCTCCTCCAAAAAAAAAGTCTTGAAAGGGTTCACTCAAACCAGGTAGGTGACCTGAAGTAGCACCGAGGTATCTCTTTCAGGCTTATAAAAGTTTGCCAATCTCTGATTTATTTTTTTTTTTTTAAGATAGAGTGAGGGGGGGAGAGAGAGAGAGAATTTTTAATATTTATTTTTTAGTTTTCGGCGGACACAACATCTTTGTTTTGTATGTGGTGCTGAGGATCGAACCCGGGCCGCACGCATGCCAGGAGAGCGCGCTACCGCTTGAGCCACATCCCCAGCCCCCCAATCTCTGATTTAAACATCTTAATCCAAATTGAAAACTGCATTCTGAGTCTCCTATTTTGCAAGCTAGAATCAAACCAGATTATGTTACTTACTTCCTCTGCATTACACCAGAATTTCTCCATTCTTGGTCACCACTGTTCTTGTAAGAATGCAAGAGATTTATCATACCCCTTCTTACACTTTTTTTTGGGGGGGGCTACTGAGGCTTGAACTCAAGCCACTTGACCACTGAGCCACATCCCCAGCTCTATTTTGTATTTTTTTTAGAGACAGTGTCTCACTGAGTTGTTAAAACATGATGTATAACATGAGATATATATATGAAAAAAAAAAAAAAAACAAAAAACCAAGATGGTGTGGGCTAATCAAGGAAATATGACAGTAGTGGTTCATGCTGTAATTCCAGCAACTTGGGAGGCCAATGTAAGAGAATTGCAAGTTTGAGGACAGCATAGGCAACTTAACAAGGCCCTAACAATTTAGTGAGACCCTGCCTCAAAATAAAAAGGTCTGGGGATGAAGATCAGTGGTAAAGCACCCCTTGGTTCAATCCCAATACTTAAAAACAAATCACAGAAAGTATTCTATAGAAAGAAGTTTTAGGAATCAGGTTTGTTTTGTTGTTGTTGTTTAGGAGGGGTACCAGATATTGAATTCAGGGGCACCCAAGCACTGAGCCACATCCCCAACCCTATTTTCCTATTTTTATTTAGAGACAGGGTCTCACTGAGTGACCTTGCTTTTGCTGAGGCTGGCTTTGAACTCATGATCCTCCTGCCTCAGCCGCCGAGTCACTGGTGTGTGCCACTGCACCCGGCTAGGAATCAGGCTTTTAAGAGCAATAGGAACCCCAACTGGCAGAGAAAAGAGGTGAAGCCTAGAATGGGATTTCAAATCAAGGCTCCTTACCTTTCAAGTGTTGGGGGGCAGGTTCCCTGTTCACAAGGCTCCAACCCCCTGATGCCTCCACTCAGTACCACTCAGGAGATGCTCCAAGTAACCCATCTTGTTGGCTATTCTCCAATTGAGTCTTCCTTCCTAGTGACAAACTCCATCACCAACGGATGGATGTAATGTCACAATCAGATGTCACAATCAGGAGCACTCTATTAATAGGAACAAGGAAGAGAAAGGTGAGTCAGGGGAACTACCTCCATTGGCATGAGACTGGATAGACTTGGATCTGGTCAAGAGTTAGTTGGGAAGAATGAGACAACTCCTTTAAGGACTACGGGTTTCAGTACAAAGTAGAGCTCATGAGCTAAGGAATCAAACATATAGTCCAACAGATTCAAACGTAACTGGGAGAGAGGAAAAGGACAAGAAAGAGAAGAGCAGTTGGTGATTTAAAAAAAAAAAAAAAGAAAGAAATTAAGAAAAAGGATTCTTTTATTCAGCACACCTAACTAGAAGTAATGTCAATGATTCCAAGTCCGTGATTATATAATACAGAGAGTCATAATACCAGACGTATTCAGTATGATGCTTTCATGTTTTAAATGTTTTCACACACTTATTTCATGTTCAAAGAATTCTAGTCCTACCCTTTAATTGGAAATACTACTTCATACAGAGATGCTCAAGAATGATGGTACATGTGCAATTCTACTTCCTAAGTCAGGAAATATTCTTGAAGGGACTGGCCTTTAAATAAAATAAAATAGGCAGTAAGGAAATTATTCCAGAGTGGGCAACTCAGAAGGCTGAAGAGCAGTAAAATTAGGGTGACCAGACTCTCACCTTTACAAGAACGGACTCAAACAGAAAAGATAAAGGTGATTATGAGATCTACTCAACTATTTTCAGGGGAATAGCAATTATTCAAACTTATTTCCTCACTAATATGTGTCTGTTAATAATTTAAGGACTGTGTTGGGATAAAATAGGATGATGACTTTAAAACATAATACTTTAAAGGAAAAACACAAAAAACAAATTAAAGAAACATAATACAAAGTCCACTTCATCTTTTTAAAAATATTTTTTAGTTGTTGGATATCTTTATTTTATTTATTGTTTTTATGTTGTCCTGAGGATCAAACCCAATGCCTCACACATGCCAGGCAAATGCTTTACCACTAAGCCACAACTCCAGCCCCACCGCTTCATCTCGAGTCTGGTACATATGTTCAATAATGTTTCATGCTCATTAGCCACAGTGTGTTTTGCTCTTCCTTCCTTCCTTTCTTTCTTTCTTTTTTTTTTGTAAAGGGGACTGAACCCAGGGACACTTTACCATTGAGCCACATTCTCAGATCTTTTTATTTTTTGAGACAGGGTCTTGCTAAATTGCTTAAGGCCTTAATAAGTTGCTGAGGCTAGCCGCACACTTGTGATTCTCCTACCTCAGCCTCCGAGTTGCTGGGATTATAGATATATGTTCCACCAAGCCCAGCTTTAGCACATATTTTTAAATTAATCAGAGTAATAAAGGTGCCATGCCAGACACACTTTCTCTTGCCTGTGGTTCAGCTGGGGTTGGGAGGTGTTGGTATTTCTCTCTACTTTCCTTTCCCACCCTTAATACAAAAAAGGGTATCATATTTCTTTCATTTGGATGATACCCCCATTTCCCAACAAAATGCATTTGTACCTCAAGAAATGCTTCCATAGGGCTGAGGTTATGGCCCAGAGGTAGGCGCTTGCCTAGCATGTGTGAAGCACTGGGTTCAATCCTTAGCACCATATAAAATAAATAAATAAAGGTACTGTGTCAACCTATAACTAAAAAATAAACATTAAAAAAAAAAAAAAAAAAACTGGGGTTGTGGCTCAGTGGTAGAGCACTTGCCTAGCATGCCAGAGGCATCGGGTTCAATCACCAGCACCACAAAAAAATAAACAAATAAAATAAAGGTATTGTGTGCATCTACAACTAAAAAATATATTTAAAAAAAAAAAGAAAGAAAGAAAGAAGTATTTCCATGCCAGGTGTGTGGTGCATGCCTGTAATCCCAGCAGCTCAGATACTAAAACAGGAGGATTGCAAGTTCAAAGCCAGCCTCAGCAACTTAGTGAGGCACTAGGCAACTCAGTTGAGACCCTGTCTCTAAATAAAATACAAAATAGGGCTCGGGATGTGGCTCAGTGTTTGAGTGCCCCTGAATTCAATCCTGGTACCAAAAAAAAAAAAGAAGAGAAATGCTTCCAGGAACCAGTACTATGGCTATGCTCAAGCCTCCTTCAAGTGACAAGTTCCAGACTCAGAAAGCAAATAGTTGCTCACACTCAGAAAACCAATCCTACTTCAATACCCCACTGGGTAGAACAAAATGGGGTTTTTCAACAGAGTGGACAACAGAAGTCAGAAGACTTGGATTCTAGTCCTAGTTATGGAGCAACCAACTGGACAACTTTGAATAAACTATCTAACCCTTCTGTAGTTTTCAGTTTCCTGAATTGTCAGGTACAGAAAATGATACCTGCCCTAACTACCTTATATACTGTCCTACAAACAAATGAGAATTCAAAAGTATACTTAATACTACTATCCTCAGGTAAGGTATTATTTGTAGAAATATTACGGCAAAATAGATTTATAGTGAGAGCCAGAGGAAATGTTTGGAAAAACTTGTTCCTTCTTTTCAATTACTGGGAACTAGGCCAGGCCACAAGGTCAACTGGATACATAGGGTAATAACACTTTTGCATCACTCATATTCCCTCACTAGCCCACTCCATTCCTACTTGCTGGAAGACTAGCAGCCTGCAACACCATCAGCCTATTGTCAGACTCGAAAACCATTGTATAGGAAGGAATAAGACTTGCATAGATCATTCTCCAAAAATTGCGACCTCAGTAATAGCCTCATTTGCTGTCAGATGAAATGTTTCTTAATGGGGAAGATATCTGTCAATCCCTCAAGCAAAAAACGCTTTCACCCCTCTTGGCTTCTGGCTTCTTCTTCAGCCCCCAGCTCCCCACTCCTCAATATCCCTGCATCCTAAATGGGGGCAGGGTTTATGGTGTGTGAAGAGGTTGCGTGAAGCGTGCATGAGGACCAGGCTGCAAACCAAGGGTAAAGATGTAAGGAATGTGAGATTCCTTCGCGGAAGGCTGGGAGAGGAAAAGGAGCTGGGAAGGAATGAAAGACACAAGGCTGCCAAAGACAAGGCATGGGAGAGAAGCCAAGCTATTGCGCTTTGAGGGCGGAGGTTCAGGTTCCGCCGCCCCTGCTGAGGCTGGCCCCCCGAACGTTCCCTTCCTTCCCTCCAAGCATGTCAATCATTGCCCATTTAAATACCACGCTGTTCTCCGCGGGTCCGCTCCTCCCAGTCCTCCGGCTGGCTCAGACCCCCTCCCTCACATAAGACTCCCCTACTCCAGGGCACCTCCCCCAGCAACACAACCTCCAGAGCCCCCTTCTCACCTCCCTACTCCTTCCCAAGGCTGCCCTCTTCCTTCATTTTTCATCTTTACTTCACCCCTTCTCCGGAACCCCAGTATCTAGAACCAAAACCTCTGGGACTTCACCCCTTCCCCTCCCACACCCTGGTTTAGGTGAAAACTCGCGCAGGCGCAGTACGCACCACCCTGGACGCAGTCTGGGCTCTCCGTACCCGGGCCTGCCAGGAGTTGAGGCCGCAGCAGCCACAGGATAGCCCCGGTGCCGGGTCCCAGCCTTTCCCGGGAGGGGAAGGGGAAGGGGAAGGAGAAGGAGGGGAAAGAAGGTTCCGACCACTCGTCGCTGTCTCAGAAGGATCCTTTACCCCGCCCACTGCTGCTACGCAACCTGGCGGAAGCCCGTCACCAAGCCCCGCCTCTTTGTTTAACTCGAGCGCGACTAGAAGCTGTGAGCAGCCAACGAGGAGCGACGGAGGCTAGCCTGGCGTCCGCTCTAGACCGGAAGTGCTCGTGGTCCCATCTCGGGACTCTATAGCCTTTTGGGAGGAACGACTCTAAGTTCTTAGCGGTGTCAAAAGTCCGGAGCGAGTCTGAAGTCGACTGCCCTAGAAGGCGACAGTTCGCCTTGGAGGGGCGCATGTCTCTTGTATTCTAGAGCGGATGCGGAGTGACGCAACATCGTGGGGGGCGGCTGGCCTGCAGTGTGATCTGCCATCCTCCAGTCCCCTCTCAGTTTCCAGAACCGTGGTCAGCATCCCTGAGCCTCCTGAACCTGTGATTCATAATCATGGGAATGGATACTGCAGTTAACAAGGCGGCGGTGGGGTGGAGTGTCTCCCCACAAACCTTTGATCTAGGGATGCTCAACTGGTTGTCCTCCTCTCCCAGCCATACTCCTGCCCTATTCACGAAGGCTCAAAAACAAATACCCTGAAACACTAAGGAGAGAGAAGAGAGAGACGATGTCCCTCTTCCTACGGCGTAATTTCCTTAGTTTGCAGCACCATGGTTGGGAATGTGGGAGTTCCGAGGGAAGTTATAGGGGAGCTTAAAGCACACTATGCGAAGGTAAGGGATTAATTTAACTAACCAAGGCATTACAATTACAGGACTTCTTAGGCTAATCTGGTATTAAATAGTATTTGTTATGGATATTCGCTAAGCAAATAGTAATGCACATAGTATATTTTTATTTAATTTGTTTATACACAGTACTACAAAACTATCTACCTTTCCTTGACTATCCTACAAGTCCCAAAAGGAACTAAAGGTTCTGGCCTCTCTTGTCCCCCCAGGAACTCTCTTCCAGTGAGATAAGGTAATAGGAACAGGTGCCTTGCGAACTAATGAGAAGGATTAATGCAAATGTTGCTCTTTATGCCCGGATTCCATTTTCTTTCAAAGGGGTTTGAGGCTGCCTATTGTAAGTCCCTGATATGTACCCCAGGAGCCCCGGAAGTCCTGACCGAGCTGGCTAGTGCATTAAAGATGAAGACCCCGCCGGAATGGTAGCACGCCGGAATGGTAGCACACGCCTGTGATCATAGCAACTCAGGAGGGAAAGGCAGGAGGATCACAAGTACAAGGCCAGTCTGGGCCACTTAGTAAGACCCTATCTCAAAATATAAAAACGTCTGGGGATGTAGTTGTGGTAGAGGGCTCCTGGGTTCAATCCTCAGTACAAAAAAAAAAAAAAAGAGAGAGAGGAGAGAAGAAGAGGAAGAAGAAGACGACCCAAATCAGGAATTAAGATGATGGTTGGAGCAGGGGAAAATAGAGGGAACTGGTATATTTATAAGTGCCTGCTGTGTCCTCGGCTTGGCTTTTTGTATAAGTTCCGTTTTTTCATCTATAAAATGGAATTGCATATTTAAGAGTTATCGAGAAAAGTGAAGCAGTGAAGTCCCTCAAACTTTTGTCCACAGGATTCCAATGCCCTTGGTCCTTTTCTAAGGAAAAAAATCCTAAGAGCCCATTAAATGCATTCTCTCAGCCAAGTAAAGGAAAATTGGGGCCTGAACCGCCCCCTGGTGGTTCACCTTGCCCACTGCTGAGCAAATCATCTCCCAGGCTCCTTTAATTCCTGAAATCCTCCCGGGTCGCCACGCGCGAATCTCGGAGCCTGATTGGCTGGACGGGGATTCGCAGCTAGGCGTGGGGCGCACCCCAGTGGTGGTGATTGGCCCGAGGAGGTCAGCCCGGGGAGGCTTCCGGAAATGTCCATACTCCCACGTTCCATCGGGCAGCATCCGGCGGCAGCGGGGCCTGTGGCTCCCCCTGCGGGCGGCTCGGCGGCGTGCACGGTCCGGCCTCCTGGCTGGGTGGGTAGTGGGCTGTGGGTGGGGGAGGGAACGGACCGATTCCCGCGTTGTCCAGATGAGGGTTCGGGAAGGTTTGGCTAGTAAGATTCCATTACCTGGCCTTGCACCGGGTTTCCTAAGCCTCCGTTGGCTCCCCTGCTTTGGGGTGCAAGACTGAAAGAGCATCCTGACTAGGGGCCTTCCAGCCCCTAAGCATTCTATTGAGACACGCTTCCCCAAGATTCTTTTCTTGAAGTTCGAGGCGCCCGGGAAAGTTCGTTTCTAACCTTCTACAAGAGTTAGAGGAATTAGGGCTGTTTGATCCCAGCTTTGTATGGTAGGTAGGCCTTTGAGAAGTGGAGCATGGGGGCAAAAGCTCCAACCGTGAGCCTCCGTCCCTTGTTCCCTGTTCCAGTGGGGTGCTGAGGCTCGGGCAGCATGACGACGGAGACCTTTGTGAAGGATATCAAGCCCGGGCTCAAGAATCTGAACCTTATCTTCATTGTGCTGGAGACAGGTGGCTATGCTGGAGTGGCGGGTTCGGGTTCGCGAGGTGTGGGGTGTGGGAGGGAGGGGGAACTCATCGCCTCTGTTAACTTGCTCCTTGGACAGCAGGGTGCGCCCTAAGGCATGGCTCAGTCCCCATCTCAGATCCTAACACAGGGAGTTGCAGTAGGGTAGTGTAGATAGAACTCTTACCAGAGCTATGCACCCAGTGTCACGCGGGCCTCTTTCCATTCAGCCCTCTCCATGGTGCTGGCTTCTCCACTACCAACCCCCACCCTCCAGCATCAGGGATTTGGGCTTTGATTTGTTTGTACACCTTTTATCTCCCCCCACCAATATCCAGATATCATCTCTCTGACCATTACTGCCCCATTTGTTTAAGTATCTTACCACCCCCATTTATCTGTACCCTTCAGGCCGGGTGACCAAAACAAAGGACGGGCACGAGGTTCGGACCTGCAAAGTGGCAGACAAAACAGGCAGCATCAATATTTCGGTCTGGGACGACGTGGGCAACCTGATCCAGCCTGGAGACATTATCAGGCTCACCAAAGGGTAAGGCAGTTGGTGATTCCTGGCTATTCCCAGGGCAACAATAGTCAAGACAGATAGGGTTAAAGATTCCTATAACTCTTATGAAGACTATGAATCCTGCTTTATTTATTTATTTTTTTTCCTGCACAGATATGCTTCTGTGTTCAAAGGTTGTCTGACACTGTATACTGGCCGTGGGGGTGATTTACAGAAGATTGGAGAGTAAGTGCTGGTTGGGGGATTGGGATAAAGAAGCAACAGGCCAACAGGGGGCAGTTAAGGTTTCAATGGAAGCAGCATAGGGTCTGCAGTCCATGCCCAGAATCTGGACTTTTCTGAGGCCTCCATCAGTGACCCAAAAGATGGGTCCAAGGCTTTGGCTACTTTCCCTCTGCAGATTCTGTATGGTCTATTCTGAGGTTCCTAACTTCAGTGAGCCGAACCCAGAGTACAGCACCCAGCAGGCACCCAACAAAGCGGTGAGTCCTCTGGCTTGATGCTAATGAAGGGGAAAGGATTAGGTTAAAAAGCATGGTGGGGAGCAGGGTCTGAGTATGTAATCTGTGTCTTCAGGGGCAGAATGACAGCAGTCCTACAGCCCCCCAGGCTACCACTGGACCCCCTGCTGCCTCACCAGGTAAAACTATTCCTTTTCATCAGCTGGCCCTTTTAACTCCAATACTCTCCCCAGCCTAGAAAGACACATTTCCCTCATCCCTGTTTTAAATCTCTTTTCTCTTCAGTATCCCCTAACCCAATTTTTCTTGTAACCTCCCCGCTTTTATGCCCCCTAGTACTGGGGATTGAATCAGAAATGCTCTACCACTGAGCTACATCCCCAGGCCTTTTTATTTTTTATCATCTTGAGACAGGGTCTTGCTGAGTTGCTCAGGCTGGCCTCAACCTTGTGATCCTCCTACCTCAGCCTCCTAAGTCACTAGGATTACAGGTGTTGCCACCATGCCCAGCCTTGTAACCTCATTTTTCATGCCTTTTCCAAGTCCCTGTGGTAAAAAGATTCAGAAACCTGTTTCAGTCACTTGTAGAGCTGGAGTACCCTTTTGCTACTACCACTCAAATCAAAAAAGAACAGTTTCTTCACATGTGGCAAGTGAATATTAGAGGCAAACAGTCTCACTTACAAGACCTTAAAATATTTTTGTAGATTCTTTGTAACAAATTGTAATGTATGTATATAATATATACAGTTAAATATAAATATATGTGATCATGTATCACTTGTGATAGGGATACATTCACACATGATTGTGTGAACATCCTAGAGTGGATCAATATTACTGTCTTTGCCTCCTCACCTTGTCCTACTGGAAGGTCTTCAGGGGAAATAACACACAGAGGGTATCATCTAATATGACAATGCCTTCTTGTAGACAATCTCCGGAAAGACCTGCCTGAGGCTGTTTCATGGTTAACTTTTTTTTTCTTTTTACGTAGAAGGAGTACACTCTAAAATAATGATAAAAAGAATAGTATACCCTGTCTCTAAATAAAATACAAAATAGGGCTGGGGATGTGGCTCAGTGCCCCTGAGTTCAATCCCTGGTACCCCCCCCCCAAAAAAAAAGGAAGTATAGTATAATAAATACATTAACCAGTAATGTAGTCATTTATTAATATTATCAAGTGTTATGTGCTATACATAATTGTATGTGCTCTACTGACATCTCAGCAGATTTATTTATACCAACATTACAATAAACATGTTAGTGATGCATTATACTACATTATTGTGGCTACAGTGTCATTAGGCCATGTATATTTTTCAGCTGCATTATAATATTATGGGACAGTTGTCATAGATGTGAACCATTGCTGATTGAAATGTCATTATGAGATACATAACAGTATATATCTTATACTATATTGGTTCTGGCCCTATGGAGAATCCATAAATTCACAACAATTTTTGTTTGTTTGCAGTACTAGGAATTGAACCCAGGGGTCATCTACCACTGAACTATATCCCCAGCCCTTTTTATTTTATTTTGAGACAGGGTCTTGCTAAGTTTCCCAGCCTGGACAATATTTAATTCCTGCACAAAAATTAGCATTTGATTTTCCAACAGTAAATAGGACTGTTGAGGCTAGGGGGTAGTTTAGTGGCAAAGTCTTTGTGTTCAACCTCCAGCACTTAAACAAGAAAAAGAAAGAAAGGAAATATGACTGTTATATATTTTTAGATGTCCAAGACTCTATCACATACAGAAATATTTTTAAGCTGGGCATGGTGGTACACACGAGTAATACCAGCTACTTGAGAGGCTAAGGCAGGATCCCAAATTCAAGATCAGCCTGAGCAACTTAGTAAGACCCTGTCTCAAATAAAATTTTAAAAAGGAGTGGGTAGCTCAGTAGTAAAGTACTCATTTAGCATGTGCAAGGCCCCGGGTTTAATCCCAGTACCCAAAATATATTTTTGTTGTTACTTGTTTTTGGTTTTGGCACCAAGAATTGAAACCAGGGATGCTTAACCACTTAGCCATATTTCCAGCCCTTTTTTATTTCTTATTTTTTTAATTATTTTGTTTTAGTTGTAGTTGGAGACAGTACCTTTATTTTATTTTTATGTGGTGCTGAACCCAGTGCCCCCACGTGCTAGGTGAGTGCTCTACCGCTGAGCCACAACCCCAGCCCACCTTTTTTATTTTTTATTTTGAGACAGGGTCTCACTAAATTGCTTACGGCTTCTCTAAATTGCTGAGGCTGGCCTTGAACTTGCAATCCTCCTGCCTTAGCCTCCCAAGTCACTGGGATTACAGGAGTTTACCACCATGCCTGGCTATATGTTTATTTTTTTTAAATAAGGTGCATCTAAGCCTGTTTGCCTCTAAAATTCATTTACCACATGTTTATTCACTTTGTCATCTGCTATCAGATACAAAAAATTTAATTAAAAAACATTTGAAAGCTGAGTATGGTGACACATGCCTTTAATCTCAGGGACTCAGTAGACTAAGGCAGGAGGATTGCAAGTTGGAGACCAGGCAGCCTCAACAATTTAGCAAGGCCCTAACCAACTTAGACCCTATCTCAAAATAAAAAAAATAGGTTGGGGATGTGCTCAGTAGTTTAATGCCCCTGGGTTCAGTTCCTAGAACCAGTAATTAAGTAAGTAGGACTGGGGATGTAGCTTAGCGGTAAAACATTCCTGGGTTAAAATCCCAGTACTTGGCTTGGGAGGCTGAGTCAGGAAGATGGAAAGTTCAAAGCTAGCCTTAGCAATTTAGTAAATTGTCTCAAATAAAATATTTAAAAAGGGCTGGGGGTGTGGCTTTATTATTAAGCACCCCTGGATTCAATCCCTGGTACCAAAAAAATCTACCCACTCCCCAAAAAATAGTGTGACTGCCAGGTACAGTAGCACAGACCTGTAATCCCAGCTACTCAGGCTGAGGCAGGAGGATCCCAAATTTGAGACCAGCCTGGGCATCTTAGCAAGACCTATCTCAAAATAAAATTTTAAAAAGAGTGGGATGTAGCTCAGGGGTAGAGCACTTGCCAAGCTCACACCAGGTCCTGGGTTCAACCCCCATTACCACACAGACACAAAAGAAGTGTATATGGGGGCTGGGGATGTGGCTCAAGCGGTAACGCGCTCGCCTGGCATGCGTGCGGCCCGGGTTCGATCCTCAGCACCACATACAAACAAAGATGTTGTGTCCGCCGAAAAACTAAAAAAAATAAATATTAAAAAAAAATTCTCTCTCTCTTTCCCTCCCTCTCTCACTCTATCTTAAAAAAAAAAGAAGTGTGTATGGCACAAAAACTTAACATTGACTTCTATACATTCACCTTTTTCTGTGAAATAAAGAAAGGACATTATTCTTCAGTTCTGCAGATATCTTATTCTGTTGAAACAGTAGCATTCAGAAAAGATATGGATTGAGAACCACTAGCCTGTAACTTCTACACTATTAGTGTGTGCAGTGCCCTATGTATGGGAGAGACAGGCCTCTGCCTTCATTTAACAAGCATTTATAGGTCACCTAATCTGTGCCAAGGAATAAAGTACAGTACCTGCCTTTAAGAGCTTGAGAGTGATATGCACAGTTACAGGAGCCTAAAAAAGTCATCTCACACACCTGGCTGGTTCCAGTCAAACTTTTAAAATATATTTGGGGGCTGGGGTTATGGCTCAGTGGTAGAGCACCCGCCTAGCATGTGTGAGGCACTGGGTTCAATCCTCAGCACCACATAAAAATAAATCAATAAAATAAAATATATTTGGGGTGAGGAGAGGCTGAGGATCTAGCTCAGTGGTAGAGAGCTTGTCTAGTTTATGTGAGGCACTGGGTTCAATCCCCAACCCTGCAATGAATAAATAAATGAAATTTACACAAAACTTATCTTTGAGAGAATAATATTAAGTGTTTAAGTGTAATATTTTTTGCTTATATTTATATTTTCTAAAATGAACATAAATTCATACATACACACCACTTTTTAACATTTTTAATTTGTTCTTTTTTTTGTGTGTGGTGCTGGGGATTGAACCCAGGGCCTTCTACACGTGAGGCAAGCACTCTACCAACTGAGCTATATCTCCAGCCTGATTTAAATTGTTTTTTAAAGCTCTTTTTTTTTTAATATTTATTTTTTAGTTGTAGTTGGACACAATACCTTTATTTTTATGTGGTGCTGAGGATCGAACCCAGGGCCTCACACGTGCTAGGTGAGCACTCTATCGCTGAGCCACAGCCCCAGCCCTTAAAGCTCCTTTTTACTGGTTTTTTCAAGCATGCTAGGCAAGTTCTCAACCACTGAGCTACAATTTCAGCCCCCTTCTTTCATTTAGAGACTTAAGCCTTTCCCCTTCCCATGCTTCTCTAGTTTTACAGTCACCCTTAATCAAGGGTCATGTTTGTTGGAGTTCCTCAAGCCTTAAACTGAACAGCTAATCCTAGGTCTGACTCTCAGTGATATAGAGCTGAATTAGAAAAATATCATAACAGGGTTCCTGTAGAGACTTCCATAGTAAGCAAGAGTTCTCTGGGTTACGTTAATACTTTCACTTGGTCCAGTTGACATTAATCTGTGGTGCAGTGTGAAGACTGCTGCTTTCTGGGGCATGAAGGTAGGCTGTTGGAATGGACTCCTGTCTTACTTAACTCTGATTCTGTGTTTCTTCTCCTTTTCCTACAACTAGCTTCTGAGAACCAGAACGGGAATGGACTAAGCACCCCACCAGGTTCTGGTGGTGGCCCACACCCCCCTCACACTCCCTCCCACCCACCTAGCACCAGAATCACTCGAAGCCAGCCCAGCCACACACCAGCTGGCCCTCCTGGCCCCTCCAGCAATCCCATAAGTAACGGCAAAGAAACACGCAGGAGCAGCAAGAGATAGCAAGACATTCTTTCTTTTTTCCTGCCATCAGCATAACCCAGGTGTCTGCTAGAGAACAAGACAGGCTAATAGGTTTCTGGCTTTGGGGTTGGGGGCTGAAGTAGCAGCCCTAGCCACTAAACCTCCCTGGAGGGGTGGTGAGCTGCGTGGCTTTATTCATCCAAAATTCATAATCCCTCTTGTCCAGCTGAGCTGCCTGTCCACTGTGATCCAGGACCCTCTACCTGCCCTCTTTCCTCTTTAGAAACTATAGTTACATAGTTTGTTTCCTGTGTAATGTGGGGATCTAATTGAAATCCTCCTTCCTAATAAATGTTTCCACTCTTTATTGGACTTCTTTGCTTTTGGGGGGAGAAGGAAAAAGACAGCAGTCAGCTAACCTAGGAGGTGGAGGGGAGATAAGTTATAGGCAAGGAGGCCTAGGCAAAGCAAGCCTGCCCCTTTAAGGTAGTGTCCCTCCCCTGCCCCGTTCCTGCAGGTGACCCTTGCCCGCCTGCCTCCCAGAAGAAGGCTGGGTCCCCTTCCTTTGGGCGTCTTTCCTGTCTCCTGATGCCAGGTAATGTTAACCTCAACCCTCTGGACAAATCTCCCTAATCAGACTTTACTCCTCCATCTTAAATCAGGTCAGACATCAAAGGGGAGCCCACTACTTGTTTCCTTTTCCCAGCTGAGCTTCCCCTTCTTCCGTCGTCATTCCCAGAGTGTTGGCTCTTAGGATTCCTGGGGTGAGGAGTTGCTGAGAACAGTTTCTTCCCCACACATGCATTTGGGGTGGCCACTTATCTGTCCTTTCCCCTCCTCCCCAACTTAGGGACACCTGGGTCAAGTCTTCCCAGGGAACATGGGGATGGAGGTTGGAGACAGGAGAAGCTCAGTACCAGATGTAAGGTGGGTGGGATAGGAGTATATACAGGAAAAGGTTCAAGTGCTATTAACTGGGTTAGGGGTAGAGTGAATTAATTTAAGAGGAGAAAAAACAGCACAAGTTCCTAACCATGTGGCTGTCTCAGGGCATAAAGTGGCTTGTCCCAACTGGGGGCCCAGCAGACTGATCTTTGACCCCCACCCCAGATAAGAGTGAATCATTAACTCCTATGTGAACCTTCCTACACTGGCCCCGCCCCAAAGCAGGTGGGCTAGGAGGGGGAGCCTATCCATCACGGCCCTCTATATGACGTGGACTCCATTGCATCTTGGCACCTGGAGGCTGAGCCCAGGACTCCATTGCACCCGGGCACCTGGAGTTTCCCCCTCTCTGGCTTGGGAACTTCTTAATGTCCACAGCAAGGCCTGCAGGGAACTGAGGTGAAAGTTTTCACATTGCCAGTAAGGGTGAGGCCCTGGGAATTTAGGGGGCATAGAGAGGTAGAACAAGGTTAGGGGTGGGTTATGGGAGACCAGAGAAGAATGCAGGTGTGGAGAGAGGGCTGGATCAGGAAGGTGCTCTAGAAACTGGCAAACAGGAGACTGTTCCAGGAGACTATTGGAAGGGTAGGAGAAGGCCTGAGTGGGGGCTGCTGCTAGATTCAAGTGGGGGACAAGTGGAAGTACTGATGGTCCTCCCCTAGCATGGAATCTGAGAGCAGAGAAGCAGCCTTGATCCCTTCCTTCTTGTTCTTTTAGGGCACAGTCCTAAGGATGTTCCAGGTGGAATAGAAGCCAGAATCAGAGCCTCTAATTCCTTTCAATGATGGGGGCCCCAGTGTGTTATCTGCTGGCTGGCCTATGTATAGGGTTGATCTTAGGCTGGGTAGGGGGTTCAGTCCCCAACCTGGGCCCTGCTGAGCAGGAGCAGAATCACTACCTGGCCCAGCTGTTTGGCCTGTACGGAGAGAATGGGACGCTGACAGCAGGGGGCCTGGCCCGGCTTCTTCATAGCCTGGGGCTGGGCCGAGTTCAGGGGCTCCGCCTGGGACATCATGGGCTTCCAACTGGTCGGGTTGCACTCCCAGCTGAAGACAATTTCACACACAGGTACTAACCCCTCTCTCCACCCCAAAATGCTACATCTCTCAGTGCTTAGATCAATCTCCAGTTGCCTAGTGCTGGCTCCTTTGAATGGATCCCTGGAATTACAAATTATTTGGAACCCAACTCCTTAGTATTCTCATTGCCTTCTTGCCTCCTCCAAATCCCTATGCCCTCAAATTCCTTATTCTTAGACCCACTACTCAATGTCTTCAGATTTATTTTGCTCCCAATTTATAGCATTTCTGGCTTTTCCCCTCCCTTGCAGCTCTCATTCTTGAGCCTCCCTATAAAGTGAGAGCGCCCAGATTTCCTCAGGACTGATATGTCTTGGGTTTCTGAGTCCCAGGAACTCCAGCCAGTGGCTGGCCTTCCCTTCCCCTAAGGACCCTGAGAGACTCTCAAGGCAGAGGGTCTGACTTGCTGTCCCATCCATTCCAGGCCACAGGACCCTGAGCTGAGTGTGGATGTCTGGGCAGAGATGCCACTGGGTCCCTCAGGGTGGAGTGACCTAGAAGAGTCCAAAGCCCCCCACCTACCCCGTGGGCCAGCCCCCTCAGGCCTGGGCCTCTTTCACAGTCTTCTACTACTGGATCATTCATTGGCTGATCATCTGAATGAGGATGTGAGTTTGATGGGGAAGGAACCACAGGATTAGGTAGCCTGAAATGTTTAGGGTCAGTAATTTAATAGTTACTTAAAAAAAAAAAAAATCTCTGGAGGCTTGGAGTACAGCACAGTGGTAGAACCCTTGCCTAATGCACCCAAGACCCTGGGTTCAATCCCCAACAATGCAAAAAGAAAAAAGAGAAAGAGAGAAAATCCTAATGTGGTAATGTGGTTTTAGGATATGTTATCCAGTAGTAGAAGTTATTCTCTCTGTGCTCAGACAGGTGAGCACACATCCAGAACTCTAAGACCCAGTTTAGGGGCCACATTTGGCAAAGTAGAGAATCTAGAGAAGCAGCTCAGTGCAGGATCTGGGTATGGTTATCTAGAGAGGAGTCTTGCAGGGAGTGGATGGCTGTCTCTATCTAGAGAGACAAAAAACTTACTCCACTGTCCCATATACCCCAAAGGGCAGATGACCTTGACACAGGCCCAGCAAGAGCCCCATTACAGGAAACATTCAAGCCCAGGCTGAATGAACATGTGAACATGTGACAGGGTCTTTGAGAGGGAAGTTAGATGGCATTTCAGATTTTTTGGTACTGGGGACCTAACTCAGTGGTGAAGAGACATACCACTTCGCTATGTCCCTAGTCCTTTTTTATTTTGATAGGATCTCACTAAGTTGCTGAGGTAAGGTTGGTCAAGACAAACTTGATTCTCCTGACTAAGCCTCCTAAGTAGCTGGGATTATAGCCATGAGCCACAAACACCTACTTTCACATTTCAGATTCTTTTCCCTTCTAGGATTCTGGCACGGAGGGCTCTAGTTGTCCAATCAGGTCCATCACCAAACCAATGAATTACCAGAGCTTGCCGGACATGGTGGCACACACCCCTAATCTCAGCAACTCAGGAGGCTAAGTCAGGAGGATTGCAAATTCAAGTCCAGCCTCAGCAGCTTAGTAAGGCCCTAAGCAACATAGTGAGACCCTGTCTCAAAACAAAAAATTAAGCCAGGCACAGAGGTGCACACCTGTAATCCCACTATCTCGACGAGAGGCTGAAGCAGGAGGATCACCAGTTCAAAATCAGCCTCAGCAACATAGCGAAATCCTATCTATAAATAAAATATAAAAAGGGCTGGAGATGTGGCTCAGTGGTTGAGTACCCCTGGGTTAAATCTCCAGTACCTAAATAAATAAATAAATAATGAAAAGGCTTGGGAATGTGGCTCAGCTGTTAAGTGCCCCTAGGTTCAATTCCTGGTACCAAAAAAAAAAAAACAGAATAATCAGGGGCTTGGGGAAGAGAGAGGATGGCAGTATTCACTAGCACCTATTTTGTATCAAATTGAATATTTGCACTGGATTGAATATTCACTAGTAATTAACAAATATTGATTATAAGTACCCTTGTCCTCAGTCCCTGGTGTACCTGCCAATCTGAGCAAAGGGGACCCTAGAAGAGACCCAGTAGTTCATGCAATGGAAGGACAGATGTAAAGATATGAGTCAGTTACGAGTGTCTCCCTAAGGTATGACCCTCTCCTCAACTGCCCAGTGTCTGAATGGCTCCCAGCTGCTGGTCAATTTTGGACTGAGCCCTGCTGCCCCTCTGACCCCCCATCAGTTTGCTCTGCTGTGCCCAGCCCTGCTTTATCAGATCGACAGCCGTGTGTGCATCCAAGTCCCAGCCCCAGCACCTCCAGGGAATCTACTTTCTGGTCAGTGGGTGAGAGTGGGGTGGGGTACCCAGAGCCCTAGTAGGGAGTAGACCCCATGCAAAGGAAGGGGATTTGCTGGGGCCCCACATTGCCTGTGGGTCCAGCCCTGGCCTAACTTCAGCCCCTGATTCTCCCCAGCCCTGCTTCATAGTGCCCTGGCAGTCCTGTTGCTCAGCCTCCCTGCTCCCCTCTCCCTGCTGCTGCTACGGCTCCTGGGACCTCGTCTATTGCAGCCCCTGCTGGGCTTCCTGGGGGCCCTGGCCGTGGGCACTCTTTGTGGGGATGCACTGCTACACCTGCTGCCACATGTACGTGAAGCCCCTTCCTTATATCCCTGACCAATGACAGCCAGCCTTCATTCTTGGCCATAGGACATCCCTTCCCCCTTCTGTCAGTTTCCACGTCCCACTCCCCCACATCTGGCTTCAGCCCACAGCTTCCTTCCAGAAGGGAGGGAGATGCTATTTGATATAGGTGCTTCCAGGTCTGCCCTGACCTCCTCTCTCTCAGGCAAAAGGAGGGCAACACACAGGATCTAGCGGACAACCAGAGGAGGACCTGGGTCCAGGGATATCGGTGCTTGGAGGCCTCTTCCTGCTCTTCACACTGGAGAACACACTGGGGCTTTTGCAGAACAGAGGTCTCCGGCCAGTGAGTGACACCCTTTTCTCTTCCTCCTGCCAAGATGAGAGTCCTAGCCAGGAACTGGCCAAACAAGCCAGGAGATGAGGGGCAGCATGTGCCTCTGGATCTTGGATATTTGCCTAACTGTGCAGGACCTGTCTGCCAAGAATGGGTAGGGGTTTCCTAGCACAGACCCAGGACTTCTGGCCAAATGGCCTCCTCTCCTAAGTTCAAGTCAACAAGAAACAGAGGGAGGTGCCAATTTGGGAAGAGAATAGAGGCCAAAGAACACCCCCAGGTGCCAGAAGTGGAACCAGGTGTTACTTTTCCCACCTGGTGGCCTGGCTTCCCCTTATCCCCCAGTTCTGCTGCCTCCTCCACCAGGAGGGATACAATCCTATTTCAGAGATGCTGCAGGCGAAAAAGGGACCTCGAAACACCAAACTTGGACCCCGAGGATGGCAGTGGGATGGCCCTTCGGCCCCTACAGGCAGCTCCAGGTGACTAGAAGAGAAAATGAGGAGTAGGCTCCATCAGGCAGTCTCACTTGCAGCTACCAACACTTGTCCTTCTTCCTGCAGAGACAGGGGCTCAGGGCCAGAGGGAGCAGAACAGCCAGTCCTCACCAGCACCAGCCCTTCCTGGGCACCAAAGCCACAGTCACAGGCACCAGGGTGGCAGCAGTGCCAACATCACATGGATGGTCCTTCTAGGAGACGGTCTACACAACCTCACTGATGGGCTGGCCATAGGTGACAGAAGAGGGAATGGTGTGGGGGAGGCTAGTCCTAGGGTAGTTCAGGGTTTGTAGTTATCAGCTATGGCCAGAAGATGGCTACCGGGGAAGGTGGGGGGAGATGAGAGAATGACAGACACACACAGGCACCGACCCCCAAGGAGACTTCTGGGCCGACTTCCAATCCTGCTAACCCCAGGTGCTGCCTTCTCCGATGGTTTCTCCAGTGGCCTCAGCACTACCCTAGCAGTCTTCTGCCATGAGCTGCCCCATGAACTGGGTAGGAATGGCCCAGGAGGGTGGGGTGGGCTCTCAAGAGGAGTAGCCTCCAAGGGGTAGAACTTGGAGGCTGGTAGGCAACACAGATTGAGGGGCAGCCCTGGCTTATTCCCTCCTTTTCTATCCTCTCTCCCCAACAGGTGACTTTGCAATGCTGCTCCAGGCAGGGCTGTCCTTTCGGAGGCTGCTGCTGCTGAGTCTTGTGTCTGGAGCCCTGGGTCTTGGGGGTGCAGCACTTGGGGTGGGGCTCAGCTTGGGCCCTATCCCCCTCACTCCCTGGGTGTTTGGGATCACTGCTGGGGTCTTCCTCTATGTGGCCCTTGTGGACATGGTGAGAGGTGTGGGGAACAGCAGAGAAATCAAGGGAAGTGGGGAGATGGGTGTGGAGGAAAGGGAAGTATCAGTCCCTCTGACTTCTACCACCAGATCCTGGAGGGTGTTGCTCCACAGGTCTGCCAGAATCTGAGACACAAGGGATAGAAAGTGTTCTGGCAGGGACTAGACACCCTTCCTCTTGAGTTAAGAGGTCAGAGACAAGGTCAGAATCATGACATTCTTCTTTTCTTTCAGCTGCCAGCCCTGCTTCGTCCTCCAGAGCCCCTGCCTACTCTCCATGTGCTACTGCAGGGGCTGGGGCTGCTGCTGGGGGGCAGCCTCATGCTTACCATAGCCCTGTTGGAGGAGCAGCTCTTGCCCCTGGTCCCTGATGGCTGATGGGGGCCAGGGGCAAGGGGTTCAGGTTGCCCTTCCTTCCCCCCAACCACAGGAATGGAGGCGGGACACAGGGCCAGTAGGAGCAATAGGATTTTAATAAACAGAACCCATCCCAAAGCCATGACTACGACAGTTGTACTTGCACCAAAACAGCATAGAAAAACCAGGGTGTGGTGGGAGGGCTCAAAGCAGGTTGGGGGAGGACATGAGTAGGGCCTGGGGGGTGCAGGGTGCATCAATCTTCAGGGAGAGCATTGTGCTTTAGCCCAGGGAAGAGGGGGAGGGGTGGGGCAAAATGCACCGAGGTCCCCACTTTTTCCTGCTGCCCTCAGCACCCTGGGGATGCAGGCATTTGGGCAGATCTGCCCTTTATTGCTGCCCATCAGCATTAAACACCCCCGACCCCAACACTAGCACCACAGGTGGATCCGGGGCAGGGAGAAGGGCAGGAATGGGAAAATTGCTTAGAGAAAGATTCAACTAGAATCCAGTGAATTGTGCTCAGTTCTCTTTACTTCCTACAACCGAGTACATGGGTCACAGGGTGGAAGGTGCAACAGGACATGGAACATGCCCTTCTGTGCCCCCCAACACACACCTGCACACAGGATGGTGGTGTCTGCAGCATCACAGGTCATGCAGGGCATGGGAAAGGGGAAGTTCACACACACATAGATGCCCACAGTGGGTACCAGACAGAGAACACCCCTGAATATACACAGCTGTACATGGGGAACCCCCAGGTTCCCACCCCAACCCTCTCCCCTGTCTTGCCGTCCCCCAGGCAGGGGAACTGTATTGCTTTGAGAGAGCCACCCTGGGGGCTGCTCTGCCAGGCACCCTCCCCTCCCACCCACCCCCATTTTGGCACATCTGCAAGACACACGGCAGCGAGAGTAGGCACCCTCCCTCCCAAGCTTCTGTGGCTCGGAATTGGAGAAGGGGATAGGAGACTTCATCCTCCATCTTTCCCCTAGCCCTTCCCAAACCCCTGCCAAACCCACTCCAGCCAGGACCCACCCCCACCCCCAAACACACACATACAAAGCTGAGCTATCCAGGAATACAAGCAGAACAAGGAGATTGTCCGGGATGGGAGTGGAGGTGGTAGGGAAAGACTGGAAGCAGAGCCCCACCCTGGTGTGGGGTAAGACTGGCACAACAGCTACTTTAGTGCAATTGGAGGGGGTGCCCAGAGTGAGGATGGAGACGGGAGGGAAGGCTCTCCCCGCATTCCCTGGGGCAGTCAGACTTCTGGACTCCCCAGGAAAAGGGCCTAGCAGGAGTAAGCGAGGGCCGAGGGCAGATCCTCTCGTCACCCGCCACCCTCTGCCCTCCCAAAAGCAGTGACAGTGTCCCCCTCACACCTATGTGGGCAACAGCAGCCTCGGAGTCAGTACCTTCAAGTAATTCAAAGAGCAGACCCTCCCCACCCCAGCTCCCTCCCATCTCTGGGATTTGGTCGCTTCTCTAGGGGTTGGGTCAGGAGGAGGGAGTCCTCAAGTCAGACCCTTCCCTCTCTACCTCCCTCTTCCCAGACCACTGGGCTTGGTCCTCAAAGATTCCTTACCTCCGCCCTTGTCCAACCTGGGTCAAGGCTGCGGAAGGCTGGAGCCACCACAATTAGAGGGGAAGGGGCTGCTTTGCTCCTTATCCCTCCTCTTAAAAGGTAGGGTTCAAACTTGGCGGGATGGGGGCCCATACTGGCTTGCCCCAGGAGTAGGGTTTCTGGGCTAGGGTCTGTAAGGCTATTTTCCTTTGTGGTGGGAAGGGGAGGCAAGGGATGAACACTGGGTGTGGGGAGAGGGTGAGAAATGGCTGAGAGGGAAGGAGGAAGGGGCCACCCCACTGGAGCATAGTCACTGGAGTCATTTCAACAAAGAAACACTCATGTGCATAAGATACAGAGTGTGCCTACTCCCAGCCCCGCCAGCCTGTCCCACCCCGCCTCTTAGGACCCCTTCTAAGACCGCGGAGAAGGTTTGGGGGTACAGTTGTAGAACCGTTCACTCTGGCCCCACCCATCCTACCACCAGCCTCTTCTCCCCTTCTAGGTCCAGGGAGTAAGAAGGTGCTCAGGTGGGCAGACAGCGGTGGAAACAGTATTGAGATTTCCTTTGGTTACATATTGAAGGCAAAGGTGAGCTGGACTTACAGTCAAAACGGATAGGGGTGAGAAAGGAAGAGGGGCCATGGCTGGGGTTGGAGAGGGAGGAAGACCCTCCTCAGCCCCTCCACCCCAAGGAACACACGTCTACGTGGGGGTGGCAGTCCCTCAGTCTCATCTCTCCCACCCCCACAGCACCAAACAAAAGGAGAAGCCCCCTCCCCCCAGGGCTGCTCCCCACCCCAACCTGGGCTGTACATTCAGTGGTTCTCAGCAGTCCTATGGCTCAGGGGGCCACGGGTGGGGGAGGTGGCCCATCAGTCTCAGTTGGACAGTGGCAGTGACCCAGGTCTGTTGGTCCTTCCAGGGACCTACAGTTTGTGCCATGTGTTTTTCTGAAGGATAGAACACAACCCTACCAAAGCCACCGCCCAATCAGAAACATCCCCCCAAAATCAGAAACTAAAAGCTGGCTCTTTTCACATCGCCCTCTGATTCACACATCTGTCTCCTGTGTAGCCCTCGCTCCATCTCCTTTGCTGGGACCTGGGGCTGCTCCCAGGGTCCTCACTTAAAATAGGCCTTTTCACAAAAGTGCTTATTACTTGAAGCAAGTGCTTTAGAGCTGTGGTGGGGAGAGGGGGAGGAGAGAAGGGAGGGTAAAGAGAAGGAGATACTTCCTCCCCCACCCTACCCCCTTTAGATTGGGGGGCATTCTGCCTATTTTACTTCTCCACACCCGTTTAAGTCAAAAAAATCTTAACATTAAAATAAATATGCAGTGGCCATGAGAATGGTCAAAATGCTTCAAAAAACACTAGGGACTAGGGAACTCGGGCTGGGGTGCAGGATTTCCTTTGGCATAAGGAGAGGAGGCTGCTTGCCCTCCAGGCCTCCTCACAGCCACACGAGGAGGGACAGAGGACTTCCTGCCACCCCCCCCCCAGCACTGCTGACAGTGTGCCGAGGGGCAGCAGGGAACACACAGCCACCAGAAATCTCATCTAGCAAAACAAAACAATGGGGCTCCTGACAAATACTCAGATTCTTCCTGTCATCGCCAAGCATTGATAAAGGAGAACACGACTGATACCCCAAGTCTTCCCCACAGGACCCATCTCCCTGCTCCCTGTGCCCCCCACCACCTAATTCCCAGCACCAAAATGAGAGGGAGGGGGTGGAATGGGAAGATTTTAGGAGAGAGAATTGAAGTTAGGGGGCAAGCTTTGCAGAACCAGCAGGGTTGGGGTGGGGGCAGCAGCCCTTAAGAGAGGTCACATTGATTGTCGTATAGGGGAGGACAGGGTATGAAGGGAGGTGGGCAAGAGGGGCATCACAAGGCCCTTTGGCTTTGAAAACAAAAATAAAAACTAAAAGCTGCACAATCCTTCTCACCAATAATGGTCATTTGGAAGCCTTGAAATGGTTTAGGATCTGAGGGTTGGGGGAAGCAAGACACAAAGAGACAGGGGAATAATAGGGATCATGAATAAAATTAAGGACAAACACCCCAGGCTTCAGGGAACCAGCATGAGGTAAGGTTAAGGGTATCTGTGGGGAGAGAGGGATCCCTGGGACAGGCCCTCTCCCCTTAGCCCACCCTTGGCAAAGGTGGCAAGACATTCAGGGGACACAACTGAAAAATGGGTAAGATTGTGAATAAAGCAAGCTTGAGTGGGGAAGGTGGATGAGGGATTCCCTAGGGGAGACCCTGTACTGTGTAAACGAAGCCTGTCCAGTTCTCGAGGGACAATACTGATGACAGCCAAACTGGGCAAGGATGCACTGTGTGAGTGGGTAGTGGGGCAGGACCTCTATTCAAGTTCTGTGTCTTGGCCCCTGGCTGAGGTATTGAGTGTGAGGAAGGGAACACTGGGCTACAGGAGTGGGTCCAACTATGCAGAGGCTTACCTAGCAGAAGGATGGACAGGGCATCTGAAGGGACCAGGGCCAGATTCAATGCTACATTTAGAGAGAAAACTGCCCCCTCCTCACTCCAGCCCAGTTTGGCTTCTGGGGTGCACCTTCTAGGAGTCTTATAAGTTCAGCCCCCAGCTCAATTCCATCTCTCCCCCTGCTGGGAAGGCAGGAGACCAAGCCTCAGTATCTACCTGTCATTCTCTCCTTACGAGCTTCCTCCTCACAGGAGGGAGGCCTGCTTCTCCAACTCATGGCCACAGTCCCTAGTCTGCCCTGCCCCTCCCACCATCTTTGGCTTCAGATCAGGAGTGACCGGGGTAGTGATTACTCTCAGACGTGACAGGAGATGGAGGCAGACAGGGGGCATAAAGGAACTCTGGGATTGCGGGCACAGGAGGAAGAAGACAGTCCCTCCCTCCACACACATGCAAGCACATGCCTGAAACACGGAGGACATACTAGAGTTGTGGTTTTGAAATGGGCAGGAAATAAATTTGTTTCTTCCCCTAAAAGATAAAATGCTTACTTAAAAATTCATGACAAGCCTCAAAGTTCAAGGAGAGAAGGGCCAGGGAAGGAATGGCCACAGGCTCCGCTCTCCCAAAAGAAGTGAAAAGAAAGAAGCAAGGTTAAAGTGCGTGGTTAGGGGGCCAGGCCAGAAATGGGAGGAGAGGAGGGGGGCAGGCTGTGGGGGCAGAACCAGCCCTTGATTTGCATATGAGGAGCCAGGGGAAGAGTGCAGGATTGGGGCCCAGGTACAGTAGTTGCTGCTTCAAGTGTTTTGCATTTGAACTTTAAGGGTGGTAGGGTTCAGAGTAGGGGAAAAGCTCCAGGCCCCAGTGCTAAATACCCTCCCCCCTCATCCTCTAGCTGCCCCTGAAGGGGGAGGGAGACACCCCCAGAGTGCTCACACAGTACCAGAAATTAAGGCTTCTCACTGCTGCAGGGATGGAGGGGCCGGCCGAGCAGGGAGGCAGTGATGGGTATGAAAGAAGAGGAAGGGTCTGCCTGGCAGTAGTGGCAGGTGGAAGGTGAACACAGAAAGAAGAGTCAGAGGGAAGAGTGGGGAGCTGGCAGCAGAAAGGGAGAA